TTTTTCATGTTTTTTATAGCAGTTGCTTTTCATCTTGGTTGATGCGAAGTGTTGGGAACGCTTTATTTAAATGGATTCAGCTTGGATGGTTTGCGGCGAGAACAAGCAGAAGAACAAGTTGGGGGTTTTAATGCAAACTAAATGCAAATTAATACATATTTAAAAACCTTTGGTTGGAAGCGCTGTTTGAACGACAATGGCATTGGGAGCTGGCTAAGTCAGATACAGCGCTGGATTCAGCTTTAACGGAATTTAACTTTAATACATTTGAAAAAATAACTAAGCGTGCTAAAAGAATGTTTTTTGATACGGTTATAAAATTTTTAACTGAATTCCTTGAATGTCAATCGATAGTAGCAATTGCATCGTGTGATTTTGAGCTTGTATTTTAAGAAATTAAACTCATTTTATGCTTGAGATTCTTGATTTCATAAAATTATCATATTTTGGAAATCTTACAGGGAAATGCTTCAAAACTTTATTAATTGATTGAGTTTGAGCTTAAGCTTATATATATGCAAGACATCAGAGACATCCAATGCTGCCATGCTGCCAAAATAGGAATCTTTTGTATGCTTTTACCAGCTTAGCTTGTCCATGATATAAGACACGTATGATTCATGAAATCAATTTTTGTATTAATCCAGCTATAAATAGAGTTTCCATCAAGATTTCCAATTCCATTTCCACGTTAATGAACTTATGTGTAAAAACATAATTTCCCCTTGCATCAGTTGTACGTCTTCTGACTAACTGGGCGCAAATGTCTTGAAAGCATTTCATATTTAGCAATTTATTATTAATTCTGCCAATATGCCAAAATCTATTTTCTATGAATTTTCAACATTTGCTGTGCTATATTTAGCATGACATCTGGAATCAGGTAGTATTGTAGGCGGCAGGTAGCAGGGGGCTGGTCCGCTGTTAATGTGTTGATCATTCGTAAATGGCACACGCCGGCCCCGTTACGAGCGATCTATATAATTAGAGACAGCGAACATACATCAACTGTGTGAGAAAATGCGCAGCAAAATGTGGCCGAACTTTGATATGTTGACAAGGATGCAGAGAGGAACGGAGATAGCAGCAGGCGGGCAGCCAGGCAGTCAAGCAGGAGCTCAACTACACTAAGCTAGAACATAAATATTTGCTTTTTATTGCCTGTTTTGGGGGCGTGGCTGGCATTTTATGCACATTTTTATTGCTGGCAATTGAAGTGAGCTGCTGTCTCCTTCTCTCTATCTTTAGCCTGTGTTATGGCCATGTCACTTTCATTTAAATTGTTGTTCTCGCTGCAATAAAATGCTTAAATCTAGGTCCATATCTACGCACTCTTCGTCCTTGGCGATACGAATAATTTGCGCGTGAAAATTGCAATTTATTTTTCAATATAATTTCACTGTTCTCCCAATCTCCCACTCTTGCTATCTCTATCTCTATCTCTCTTTTTCTGCCTCTCTCATTATCTCTCTATAATTTGTTGTCGCTGTGTGCATGCATTTTGACCATAAATTTGTAGAGGCGGCCATTAAATGTTGGCCCACACGCTCTGCGGCAAGTGCAAGTGCAAATCTTCAAGTGCCAGACACACAGACAGACCAGACAGGCCATAAAATGCAATGTGAATTGAAAATGAAATCCATGACGTCAATTTGTTAACAATTTTCGGTTTTAGCCTGCTCTACTTGGGGCCAAAGGGCAGCAGCGCGCTGGCTACAAATCGCCTGCAGCTCGCATTGTTTCTATGCCTTAATTTTAGATTATTTGGCAAACTAAAAATAATTAATTGCACGCTGACTGTGTCGAGGCTGTTTGGCAACTAGCTGCCAATAGATGCAAAAGTTGGTCAGCAAGAAAAAAAATATATATATATATATTTATAAAAGAATGAAATGCACACGAGCTGCCAGATTTGCTTTAAGGCGTGAGTGTCTTTAATCCTAAGTAGTATGCCCTGGGGTGTAGTTAAAATGTTTTATTGCTTTATTACTTTTTCTTTCTAACAAATATTTATGTTTCCCTTCTCTTTCCAGTTCGTAGGCTGGGAGGAGGTGCCGCGCCCCAATACGAGAGCCGAAATTGTGCAGGCCATGCGTCGCATACGGGTGAGTCAACACATACACACACAAATTGTAACCTAAGACCCAGTAACCAAATTCAAGAGCCCGCCCGCATGCACAACTTTTGCCAATCAAAGAAACTTTCGGCGCCCTTTAAGTTCCTTTGCTTTATGCACGCTGCCTAAAAGCAGGCAACACTTTTTTACTTTTCCTTCGCCTGGCGCCGCTGTCACTGCCAATGTCATGTGCTTTGATTACAGTTACAAGCCGCAGTAGCTACAAGCACCAAAAGCGAACGGCATAAAAAGCAACGTGCCATGGCCAATGTTGCGTTCTTGTTTATCTGCTACGCCCCCACATGCCAAACAGCCCAGCCCCCATCTCGCCTTAGTTAGCTCGTGCGTGAGTTGGCTTAAATATGCCAAGCTGAGGATGTGTGTGATGTGGCTGATGTGTGAGTGTGTGTCTGTGTGCGCGTACATTAGCATTGTCTGACTTCAATTTAGAAAGCGCTTGATAGGGCGCTTGTTATTGTCATGTCTTGCCATTAGCTGCGTGCGTCGAAGCCAGTCAAATGTTAATTGAAAAATTCGGGAATCAGCATAAGCCATCCTTAACATACATACATCAGTTATGTAAATACGTGACATTTTTATTATTATCCTTTCTTTTCTCTCTCTCTTTCTCGAACTGTAGTACGAGTGCAAAGTGCAAAATCTGAAGAAACGTAAGGTTACAATACAAATATCAGTAAACGGCGTTCGTGTTGTGGTCAAGAAACGTCGTCGAAAAGTAAGTGAAAATCCTCTACCGAATGTTCATCAATCATTTATATGTCAAACTGTCATTTAATGTGTGCTTTGTGTAGAAAAAGAATTGGACCAATGACCCCGAGGAAATCGAGTTGCTCAATCATCCCATCTACAGAATATTTTATGTGTCCCACGACAGCAGCGATCTCAAAATATTCAGCTATATAGCACGCGATGCCAGCACGGATACGTTCAAGTGTTCCGTATTCAAAAGTCACAAAAAGGTAAGTTTATTTATTTGTCAATAAATATTATTTAAGTTTTAAATAAAAATATCAAATCGAAATTACTTTGCCCATAAACTGCAAGTGCCGCATCACAAAAAGTTTTTGGCTTGGCCAAAACATGGGAATTTGCAATTTTAATAGTCGCTATGTGACTTACTGGTCTCCACCTCGCCCCCATGGACCGCTGTCTGTTTTCTCTGTGTGTATTCTAATTTTAAACACATTTGGTACATGACATTTCGACTGTCCTGTTTTTGCAAAATGTGTTCTCATATGCACAAATTTGGCTGGCATCCAGCGACGTCGCATTGCGAGTGAACCTGAAACGCAAACAAGCAGCAAATAAACAAATACATAAGTGTGATTGCCCCAGCATGGCTGGCGGTGTTTCGATGTGCTCTTTGCAGCTAGCTGTTATGGGCATAAAGAATGCCTTATAATCAGATCAAAGTAAGGCCATGCGAACCAGCTACGAAACTTTCGTAGCATGCATAATTAAAAGTTATTAGCTATAAACGAGAATTGAATCCAGCTTAACTATAATTGGACTTGATATGCTGCAGCCATTAACAATCGTCAGTGTCCAAGCATTTTATTACTTGGCATGATCTGAGCGAATGTAAGACGCAACTATCCATCAGACTGACCGCCAGGCGTGGCGCTAGATTTCCGCATCTGACACAGAAAGAGACGCGTATGAAATCGTGAACAGCATTGTGGCAAGTTCACTGACAGCGCCCCATCAAGTTTTGACCGCGATTTGCCAAATAAATGGATAGCTTTTACTCTGTAGTCGCCGCCGAATGCATTTAATTTGAGTTCGGCTGCGGTCTGCGATGCAATCAGTGTAAAGATTTTATTATATCTGCGGTCGGAGCGCTTGGCCTTCAACTTTGGACTTCAGGCAATGTCAAGTTTTTTTGTCGGCACTCCACTGGCATTTCTAATTTCGACACAGTTTTCCAATTAACAAAGTTAAAAACAGAACAGAGCAGAGCAGAGGATTTCAGACAAACAGCATGACACAGCCTGTCGAAATGCCTGACAAGTGACATGTTAAACAAAGGCCGGGCTCGGAGGCAGGCCAGGGGTCGTTTCACACATCGTATGCGGCACGGCACGGCACGGCACGTGTTAGACATTGCGCATACGCTCCGTGCGTCAGGCAGGTAGGCAGACTAGCGAACGATCTAGTAAACGACAATAAACAAGACAGGAATAGCACAAGCTGCAGCGCAATTGCACTTTGTATTATGGACCAGGATCGTCAAAATAAACATCAGACAAAGTGATGAAAGCGCTTGATTTATGGCTAAGCAGCCGAAAGCTGCCAGCCAAAAGAATAGCCACGAAAAATTATAAATGCCAGCACACAGCACACACAAAAAATGTGAAAAGTTGCCATTGTTTACTTCCGCGAAACACAAAGCAGTGACGTCACAGAAACAGACAGCAGCACCATCAGCGCCACAAGTTGCAAGCGATAATGCGAAAACGCGCATACGCCATGTCAGCCCGCCGACCAGCAGGTCGCCGCCAAAGACCAAAACAAACGCAGCATGATGCTGCCCAAAAAAAAAACGGCCGTGTTAACAGCTGAGTCGGCACTCAGCGAAAGCTTTTTCTTCTTTTCTTTTTTCATTTCCATTTTGCTAATAAGCAAAAGCTCCGCTAGCCGGCTACAGATCGACGCAGATCTCATTGCGGTCTGCCGCTCAGTTCGCAGAAGCTTTGTCCAGTTCCCACTCGACGGTGCGCCGCTGCAGACGTGCGTTGAATGCCACAAAAGCAAACAGAACAAACTCGACACTGTGTAATTATGCAATATGCATGTGTGTGAGTGTCGTGTCCGAGTGTGTGTGAGTGGAAAGTGCAGTGACGTGTAAAAACAAATAAAAAAACTATAAACATTTATTGGTAAAGAAATATAAAAATTTAATAAATAAAAATGTAATTTTCTGCCAGCTGGGAAATATTTATTTGATATTTATAAATATGCGAATATGTCACAGAAATTAATTCAATAAATTCGGGCAATGGCATGTCAGAAGCGTTGAGCACAAATATTTTGCCAGACCATAGATCAAACCGGGCAACAACTAAAAGGAAAATCAGCGATGAAAATTTGGGTAAATTCAACAGGCCACAGAAGTGTTTGTCATGGGCTGATGCTGACGCCATCAAGTAGCTGCAAAGCAGCCGGGCCAATCAGTTAAGCAACAATGACAACAAAAAAAATGAAAAAAAAAAAACTGAAAATCAAATGAAAATTGTCATGAAAGCTGGAAAATTAATTGCAAGCAAAGTTCATAAAACGTGCCGCCACAAATATATATATATATACAGATATATATAGATTTATGACCTTAGAATTGTTAACGATCTGAAAGAATAGTGTATAGTGCGTGCTGAAAGTACCTGTACACAAATCTGAAAAAGACCCGCCAACTGACGCACTTTGCAGCTTGTTTATGTTTACGAGATCTTGGCTAGTGCCATAAAAATGCCGCAATACTCTGCATTATTAATAACATTTTTCATTTCAATCTTAATTTCCATTTCCATTTCCATTTCTATTTCCAATATTCATCCATCTGCAAATGCCCACGCGGTAGCAGTTAATGAGCCGCGCTCGCCACAGGTAGTCGAGAAGGCATAAATAAATAATATGATGGTCAATCAGGCGCACACACGTGACAGCCTGAACAATTTATGATTGCTTTTTATTTATAATTCTTAGCTGCTTAGCAAAAGCCAAAAGAAACAAAGCAAATAGTTGGCCACGAAAAGGGGAAAACCAATATCGAATGAATCGTAGAGATTATAAATTCTAGAGCAAAGATCTGCTGGGGCCAACATGAGCAGCAGATATATTTATTGTTATTAATTAAATATAATTTGGAACACACTTATATTAACCTCACTCACGCACACACTCATGTGTAGATAGCGAATTTTCCTTTGCATTTGCAATTTGTTGCTTTTGGCGCAAAATGGCGGCCGCAATCGTTGAAATTTTCAATTATTCCGTTGATTTTTGCTCGAATTTGCGTTGCCTTTCTTTTATTTTGTTGCGAGATCTCTCTTATTAGTCTTGCTGCCTTTAAACCCGAAATAGATCCATTATTTTAATAGCCTGCTCTAAAGTATTTCGTAAATCGAACAAAAGCGCAAATAGGGGGCGGCTACTTGAAGCTATATTATAAATATATAAACGAGTGTATTTCTTGAGCAGTTTTTCCTTGTGGGTTGCTGGGGGGAGGGAAAATGCAAATTTAAGTGCCTTGTGCCATGACTAATGAAAAGTTAATTAGTAACAGTAGCAAGAGGAAAATCACAACTGAAACCTGTAACAAAACCGAAAAAATGAAATGATGCAGCAGCTGCGGCTGACCATGCCACAGTCAGTGCCACGGCCACTGCCAGTGCCACAACTTATGGCCACAGTGCACATGTTGCAGCTGCAGCAATAAAAATCTTGGCAAAAGTTAATAAAAAACGAAAAGAAAAGCCGCTGAAGCTGCGTGAGGGGTGGCAAAGGAGTCCAAAGGGCATGCGGCACAGATTTACTGTTAAAATTTTCCCTTATGACTGACAAACAAACAAACAGAGCAGGAATGAGAAAACAAATAAGCGCACAGTTTGTTGGCTCTGCAACAGAACTGAAATGGAAATTCAAAATCAAATAAATACATAAAAAAGCGTTGAACGTTGTTTGCGCCATAAATCTTAAAGTAGTTTTCCACGAAGCCAACTCAACTGCAAAATTTCTATTTGTTTTAGATTTAATTTTTGGCGCCGCTGTAACGAGAGACCAAAAACAAAGAAAAAACCCATTAGAATAGAGCAATTCAGAATGCTCAATGCACCTGTGCTCTATTTTGATTTAGTTTTATTTTATAGTTTCTGTTGATTTGATTTATTATTTATTGCTGCGTCAGCACAATGTGCACGGATTGACTTGTGTGTGCAGTCAAGCGAATGGACAGGCCGTTAAATAAACAGACAGACAGGCCGACAGACGGACAGCCAGACATTCAATCGACACCTTTGCCACTTCGTTAGACAAATTTGCCGGCACACGCAGCGTATGCGCAATGTTTGTGCTCAGTGTGCGTGCTAAGGGCAAATAGTGAAATGATTTCAACAGTTGGTTTACTTTATAATTAACTTGCAAACCATATTCCTAGCAGACCACAACATGTGAGCATTTTGTAATTTACTTTCCGCATTGGCGAAACTAATTCTGTCTACACTTGTCAGAATAATTCAATTTGATGTCTCCTGCTAATGTCTCGTTATAGTTGTTGCTGCTTGTTGTCGTTGTTGTTGCCCTGCAAAGTGCTCAATTTGTGGTCAGCAAATGTTCGATTTGATGGACATGCAAAACGAGCAAACTCTTGGCAACAGCGACATAGTTTCAAATATATTAAAACAAAAATTCCTGTTTAATGACTGATGGCAAAATCGAGCCTGTTAGCTAGAAAAATATACGCAATTCAATTAAACTGGCTCAGAAGCAAGTAAATGTAGCATTTAGTAAGTACAGCAACTCTTTTGATGCGTAATCGAGACTATTTTTAGCGTGAGACCTTCGAGCTGTTGTCTCCGTGCCAGTCAAATTGCAACCAAAGACATTAGCTGGCGTCGAGAACGGGTTCCAAGAAATGGGAATTCACTTTAGATTTCAGCGAGCTGACAATGATTAACCCAAACAAAATCCAAATAGATTGACAGTCAGGAATCGAACCGAATGCAGCTGGCAGAAATACAAACACAGATGCAAATGCAGTGCGATTGTGTATACATGCATGCAAATATATACACTGAGAGAAACGAGCAACCACTGCAAAGTGTATCGAAAATAAATAACTAAAAAGTATTCAACTACAGCAAATATAGGCAAAAACAATTGAGAGCTCTGCGGGCCATCGACGAAAATAATTCAATATAAATACTATATAACGTATACGCGCCGTCTACCATATACTATATGATATCTTGTGCGAAGCATAACAACATTGAAGGGCGAAAATAACAAAAACAGAAACAATTGAGCCGCAGGTGCGAATAATGGCAAAGTGTGTGAATAACCTGGATCAAGGAGCCAACGCAGTCTGCAGGCAGCTAAACAATTATGAAATTAATAGTCTCTTAATTGGTGCCGATAATAAGTATTATTGAAAACAAATATTGAACAGCATTGAACCGGGCAGCAGCCGCCAGTGCGAAAAGTGCGCGAGTGCGAGAAAAGTCAAACAAAAGTCGTGCGAAAGTGTTGACAAGCAGTTGGCCAAGTTGTTTTCTCTTTTTCGGGCCAACAAGAAGACCTTGCTATTCCTCGCCAAACTTTAGCGGATCAGTGAACGCATGAACGGTTGGCCATGAAGCACGAGAAGAGTTTAGCCATGGCCGCCAACGGTACGCCCCCGCTGAAGCGTGATAAGCAGCGTCAGCAGCTGCTGGACTCGGCCAATCCACGCAGTCCCATTACCAAGGCCTTTGACTTTCTACCCTGGTCACGAAGTCGTAGCCGCAAGGCGGAGCCGGAGCCCAGCACAGCAGCTGGCGAGAAGCCCGCCGAGGTGCACTACCATCGCAACATCTTTCGCAGCGGCGGCGGCCTTATACGCGACATGCTCGTGGGCGACAAGGACAAGCTGCAGAAGGATAAGCCGCCACAGTCTCCGCTTTCGGAGGCTAAGAAGGCGCAGCGCAAACAGAAGCAGGTTTCCCGTAACAAAAGCCTGGACATTCGAGAGCTAATTGGCTGCGTGGACAGCGAGCTGGTGCCGCGCACAAATGCCTTGGGCTCGCCACAGCCACAGCGCTTCCTTGACGACACCTACATAGATAGCAAGCCACGTCACATACTCTTCAACGACGATGAAAATACGGTGTATCTCATCAAGAAGGAGCAGCCAGTGGCCAAGACACACAAGTCGACGCCCACGCACAATGCCCGAGACTGCAATGGCGGGGATGTGCTGAAGGCGCGGCTCAAATTCAAGCGGCTGCCCAGCGACCACTATGCGGCCTCTCCAGAGGCGCTGCGTCGTGCACAGCAGCTATATCAGCGCTCCGAGCAGCGTCACACGTTGCAACGTCGTAAAAGCCTCAGCGACTCACATTACGAGAAACAGAGCACCTCCAGCTTGAGCAGCGGCGGCAGTGGCGGATTGGCTGCGGCAGCTGGCACTGCGAGCGGCATTATGCTGGAGCGACCCAAGACGGATAAGCCGCGCAAGAAGCTCTCCTTCCGCGAGCCCATCGAGGCGGGTCTGTCGCCCGTGGTAATGGCCATGTCAGCGGCCATGTCCAGTGAGCAGCGGCAGGAGCGACAGCGGCGTCGCAGCTCGCCGCTGGAACGCATCAACGTTCAATTGGGACATGGTCAGGACTGTGATAGTGTATGCAATAATCGCATAAAGGATGCTATTCACAGCGGCTATGCCGCCAGTGATCCGGAGGTGGGTACGCCGCGTCACGGGGCGTATGCGTAATTTGCTTTGTTTTGCCGCAGCTGTCGTTGTCAGGCTGGCCTGGCTGGCTGCTTGACTGCGTTAATTGCTAGCTGTGTGGCTTAATATTAATTGCTGTTAACCCCCCTCTCAGCGCACACATATACTCATAACATATATATTCTGGTTACCCTCGCTGATTGCTGTGTGTCTGTCTCCCTTTGTCTTTTGCAGTCTCAGGCCATGCGCATTGTGCGCACCGTCGGACAAGCCTTTGAAGTGTGCCACAAATTTAATCTTCATAAGAATTCCCTGGAGCCCAATGACGAACGCTCCGATGTCTCATCGTCGGAGCTGCTGGATGTGGAGCAAATCAGCGAGCAGCAGCTCAGCGAAGATGGAGGCGTCCTAACCAGCGAGACGCCAAAGAAAGGTAAATGTTAATCGTATATATATGCCTCTCTGTCTGTGTGTGTGAGTGTGAGTGTGTGCATGCCACATGCAATTTTCGCAAAAGATAAACCGTCTGATGAACCCCTTCCCCTTATACTGGGTCGTTGTACGCTGTACAGACTGTGGGCCAATAAATAAATGAAAAGCTGGCGCTGTCGACACCATCGGCTGCTTCCTGGGGCGCTTCGTCGACTGCAATGCGATGCGATGCAATGCACGATGCTCGATGCTCGATGCTGGCCACTTGTGGGTGGCCCCGGGCCACAGACTGAAACACCCTGGACAGCAGCTGATTGCATTAGTTTTGCAATTCAGTTTGGCATTTCAATGCAAATTTCTTGTGCTCTTTAATTTTGAATTCCGTTCAATGCGAGTCAAAAATTTGCATTTAAATTGCATTTCGCCAGCGACTGGCAAAGAGTAGAGGGACAGCGATTTTCCGGCACAGAATTGTTGACATTTAAATATGGCACATTTAAGAATTTAACAGAAATTATTAAACAATTAAGAGCAAACGTTAATGGGCCCATTAAATAATTTCATATTTTCATTAGCGAAACAGAAAACCCATAAGGAATATATAAACTCGTATATAATATAATGAATATTTATTGATAAATTGAGCCAGAGGCTGGCTGACACGCTGACGCTGGGCGTTAGGTAATTTCCACGTATTTCTTACATTTTCAATCAAGTCAAAGCGGCTTTTCACATTTTCTCTGCCACTTGACGTCATCAAGCTGAATATATGAAAGGGGCAAAGAAATATTTCAATTCTTTTCACGATATTTCACCGTAAGACGACAGAAAGAACATTCTCAGAAATAGCTATAGAATGTAGTCAAGTAGCTTAAGTGGCTCGGGGTGCGTTGGCTGGCTGTTGCTGCCGTTAACAGGTAAGACAAAACCGAAACTTTGTCGCCAGGTTACTTGCAACACGCACAACTCACGTGGCTGCCACAAATGCAGCAAAAGCAGCTGCTATATATATGTGTCTGTGTGGAGGCGTTCATTTAGCATTTTGGCATGTCTTTTGCTCGAGTCGTGTGCCAAAAATAATTTATTTACTCTTGTTTTTATATATGCATGTGTTAGGCAAGCTATAGCTCTCCCACTCTGTATCTCGCTCCCTCTTCCTCGCTCTCAAAGTTTTGTAATTTTGTTAATATTCATATATTTGGTCGCGTCTGTTTGGCTTTAAGTAATATATATATATAAATTTCTATGTGTGTATGTGTGTGTTTTATCTTGTCTGCTGTCTTTTGCACAACAGATGCTGCCTTTGTGTGTCTTTGTTGAGAGATTGAACAATGATAATAGAGAGACAGTTGTCGGGGCAGTTAAGCAAGTTGAATGTCTTACAAGAGTCGGTCTGCCCACAGTTATACTAAGCAGGGCATTGTTTAAGCACTTGCTTTTAAGTATGCTATGCTTCAAGCGGCTTAAGTTACAGCCACAAAGCTAAGGCTTATCTTTAAGTAACTTAAGCATCAATTAAGTTGAGGAAATAACCCTGTTGTGACCCTACCGCACTTTCATATTCCCTCATTGTTTGCAACATTCGCAAAAATTGTCCTAAAATATTCATATTTTAGAGCAAATTTTAGCAGCTGGTGACAAAAATCTATATAATTGAATGGGATGTGCAGTTTTTTAGACTTTTTTTGTAGCCATTTAGGTCGTTTGGATTGTAAAATCCGTGACTCACCAGACGAATATATCTGTCAAACATGTGTCTTCTTTAGCTAATTATGCTTATTCAAATCGTATCTAGCTCGTGTCCTTGCTGAAAATTGCGAAAGTTCAGCGAGGCAATTTGTGCGAGGGGCGTAAATTAGTTTTATATGAACAATTAAATGCGCCAAATTAATTTACATGCTATGGGGAAATGTGTAAGGCCAGTTCAAGTGAAACAGTTTGCAGTTATTAACATGTGCTCAGGTGCGAAGCCAACGCGAAATTGCCTAAATATTTCATATGATCTCTAAATAGAGATTAACGATTTGCCACGATTTGCCAGCGCCAACCGCTTTTTCATTAAACACGCGCAACTACTACGAAAAACTAAGCACAGCAGCAACAACAGCAAAATGATTTGCAAAATTTTCTGGTTAACGAAAATTGTTGAAATATTTTGCACACAAATCAAAATCGCAGCGAAATAAAAATGCAAAATAAACAAAACAATGAGTCGAGCAGGATCCTCGGCGAGGCGAGAGGAGACGAGCGGGGGAGCTGGGTGTGGGCTATGTTGGGATAATTATATCATTATTTATTGTATACGAAGCATAATCAAAACAAATATTGAAATCAAGCTGCTGTAATTAAGTGGAAATTAAGCGTTAGCCAGACCAAGAAGCAGCAGGTGCGCCAGCTAGCCACTGAATGAATGCGTATGAGTGTGTGCAGTGACCTTGACAAATGGTTGGGCTTGCTCGGTCAATTTACACGCTCCATTTGGTCGAACATGCAGCGCGTTCTGTCAGCTGCCCACTAATTCTGCGCCCATTTCTGATTATTTATAGAGCACTTGGGCATAACGCCCGATTTGAACCACACGCAGTCGCCGCCACAGCCGCAGCCGCAGCGGCCGAGCCACTTGGAGCTGCTGCCAACGCAGTCGAGTCTACGCAAATCGACCAGCCTGCTGGTAAGTGAAATTAATGCCTTTTGCCCAATTCCAATTCCAATTCCATACCATAGCCATAGCCATAGTCATAGCCATAGCCATATCCATATAGCTATTCCAAATCCAGCATACTTATTAAATACTTATCAGCAAATTAAATTAAATAATGGCCCCATTGCCAATTTAAATGCCATAAATGCGCAAAAAAATAGAATCCATTAGAGTATTTCGTTTAGGTCATTCCTATAAATTGATATTCGACCAGGAATCCGTTGTTTACTTAGGCGAGACAAAAGTGTAAACAAGAAAGTAACATTAAAAACGATTTCATTTTAAACGATTTCTGCGCTTATGAAAGCCGCGTGACTATGTAAAAATATTTTATATAAATAAATAAAGTTCCAAAGTTAAGCAAGAAACGAGCAAATATTTTAAAAAGCTGTAAAAATTTAGTTCTTCGTTTTATTATTATTAGCTTTAAAAAATATATCAAAATATTTCGATGTAGACATAAAAAATGTTGAAATAGTTCTTGGAAAAACGAAATATTTTCGAAATCCAAATTTATTTAGATTCAGATATCTTATATCTAACTCATATATATATTTTCTACGACAAGCAGTGCGATGTGGATGACAAATCACCTGTTTCGCCCTCATCGCCGCGCACTGAGATAACCCAGCTTAAGGATCAGCTGGAGGCGCAGGCGCAGCAGACACGTCAAGCACTTGGCCAATTGATGTTGGTGCGCGAACAGCTCATCTCGGAAACTAATGCGCGCATCGAGGCGCAGGTGAGTGCCAAGCAAGCCAAAATACAAGATACAACTTACTCACTCACACTATGTGGATCTCTTCTCTCTCTCCCTCTCTCTCGCTCCCTTTTTATAGGCGCGCACGCAGCAGCTGCTGCAACAGAATCGCGAGCTGCTCGAACATTTGGCATCGCTGGGCGCTTACAACGAGCAGCAGACAGCCGGTCTGACCTCTGCGAACATTGGCATGGCCCCACAGGTGAGTCCATATATCCACGCACTATGCACATACACATATATATATCCATACGTATTGTGATCCCTGAACGTGCCAAGTTAACTGGAGAGTTTATGTTCGTTTGCCCCAGTTGCCGTAAACAAACTGCGCTTTAATTTATGCCTTCATAATTTTGTTGCCTTCATTATTCAAAAAATAACAAAATATATGAAAGAAAAATAAATAAGAATTTTAGGTGCTCGGCGAGCCCTATGCATGTTTATTTTACTTTGCTGCCCGCCCCGTCACTCCATGTTTGCTCCCATAGCGTTTTCTTTTGCACGTTTCTTTGTTTGTTTGTTGTTCGTTTGTTGTTCTTGTTGTTCATTGATTAAGTTAAGCTGCAGAGTTAATGACTTGAGATACCCTTTCCAACAGCAGCAGTCACAGCTGCAGCTGCTGCTACAGGCGACCAGCAACAACAACAATTTGGCCACCATCAATCAGCAGATCAACAATTTGGGCAACATCAATCAGCAATTGACCTCGCTGAGTCACCAGCTCAGCGGCCTCAATCAGCAGAGCCAAAATCTGCAGAATCTTCAGAGTCTGCAGCATTCGCCGCCCACGCCAACGGCACAGGCGCAGCTGACGCCGCCAACGCCGCCGCTGGCCTCCAGTGGAGCCAGTGGTAGCAGTTCATATCCCTCGATGAGCCAGTTGCAGACCATCAGCAATCAGCTGCAGCAGCAGCAGCAACAGCAACAGCAGGATGCACTGTCCAAGGATCTGTTTCAGGTCAACCAGGAGCTGTTGAATCGCCTGCAGGCATTGAATCTTAATGCGAATGTCCCGCAGCAGGCGCAAACGCCATCGGCCTCGCCGCACAATTCCTACTTCTTTGTAAATCCGCTGTCCTGTACACCAGCCACGCCGAATAACAATGCAGCGAGCGGATTCAATTTTCTGGCCTCGGCGAGCGGAATGAATGCAGGCACCTTGACACCATCGCCGCTGGGCACGCTGACGCGCAACTCATTTACCGGCAGCTCCATGCTGAACGAGGAGCTGCGTCTGAGCATAGAGCAGAATCTGAACAATTTGGAGGAGCAGCTAAAGGTTGCCGTATCGAATGGCAATTTGGCTGGCTTGGCCTGCGGCGGATCCACCAGCACCAGAGATACCAGTCGCAGCTCTTCCACATTGGACTCGCCATCGTCGCCGCGTCAACGCAGATGTAATAATAACATCAGCCCCAGCAGCAGCAACGGCAACAATAACATTAACAACAACAATGGCAATGGCAATGGCAGTGGCAATGGAGGTAACAATAACAATTCGAGAGAAACCCGCTTCAATACCGTGCTGCTGCGTGTCACCGACGAGGCGGGTCATCAGCGCAAGCTATCGGCCACGCCCAGCTTTATAACGCGCAGCACCAGCGAGAAGGTGCCCAATCGTAGCCAAATGATGAGCCAAGTGCAGCGCACCGCCTGGGCCAGGCACACCACCAAGTGAGCGGGAAGCCAGCAAACATCGAGCGTGGACCAGCTCTTAAGTACAGATAGTCACATTAAGCTAAGTCGCATGAGAGTGTATGAATGAGTATGAAAATGAGTATGAATATGAGTATGAGTATGAGTATGAGTATGCGTATGAGTAACAGTATTAAATAATAGAGCTCAATTTGTTTGTTAGTTTGCATTTTAAGTTGTTCGAAATTCTAGTCCTGCAAGTCTTTTTCAAAACATAAACTGAGAAGAAGAAGATACTACAACTGCAGCATATCATAAAATAAATTATTAAATATATAAACTATATATACATATATATAAAATAACTATGAAAGTATTTGCTCTCCCTTTAAAGTGTCAAAGTAAATAGTTGCTAAGCTCTGAACGGTTATTTTAGTTAAAAACTATTTAGTAAACTGTTGTCATGTAAATTTTATGTTTATGCAAAAATCTTCCACAAATGTTTGCTCAACAAGTCCTATAAAGCTCAATAGCTATGAACATTATGTGAACAAATTTCAAAAACAAACAAACAAAGATAATTCGAGTGCAGCGAATGTTCAATGTATAAATAAAATTTTATTTATTAACTAAACTTTAAGCTACAAACAACAATACAGGCAAACAACAAGCGACAGCAATAAAATATTAAAAGCATACAAAATATTTAATTTTCGCATTAAATTTCTAGGAAATGTTAACAAATCCAATATATAATCGTTATATTCATTAATAATTGTCACTTTTCGCAGCGTTGGACAATTTCACTAATGAGTTTTACATCGGCAGCAAACGAAAAAAAACACTGCATACTTTCGAGGGCAGTGAATAAAAAACGTGCTGCATACTTTTAAGCGCATTTGTATTACGCATACGCCACATCGGATAATGAACGGCCCAACAGGCAGTGCATAAATTTAGAGTGATAAATGAAAAACGATGGCAAGCAGAAAGTGCACCAGAAAGAAAACTCGAAAAAAAAACAAGTGTCGCCGTTTTTCACTTCTCCTTTTTAGCGGCCCCCTTTTCAATTTCTCGCCCCCCCTCGCTATGTCTTTGGTGTTGGTGGACAGCAATTTGCGCACATAACTCATTTGCATAAATTTCCACACTGACTTTTTGTTTATGCCCGACTCATTTTCACAGCTCTCGTCGACGGCCAAAGTGGCCCGCTGGTTTCAACAGCTGCCGTGGCACACCGCCTCGCTGTCCCGGCCGGAAAGCGGCTTCGTATCTGGCGATTCGCGCTCTGAGAAGTATCAGGAGGATCATTTCTATGGCGGCATGGTAAAGGAAACTGATGATTTATGCGATGAATTTCTACTCGTCGAGGGCAGCAGCACCATTTGGACTAAGTTGAGCGCCAAAAAACGTCGTAAATTGCTTGGCATGCGTTTGGGCAAAGTGACAACATTTTAGCTCCAGCTCCCTGCCAACCGTAATGTGTGCGTTTATTAGCTGTTAAGTACGTTTTTTTAAGCATAGCACCAGGCAATGGCGCTTTTATCAAGCCAAGTAGCTAGTTACTTATATATATACTTACTTAGGCTAACGAATATGAAAATCAATAGACTAAATGACCAAATTAACCCAAAACGAACGACATGCTCATTGAAATGCCATGAACATACACAAATACGTACGAACACACACAAGCACACATACACACACATACATACTCGAAAAGATAAGATCAAAGCAAGATACAAGTAGTAAATAGGCGTCGACATAAGTCAATTAGCGAGCATAAGGCTTAAGCTCAATGTGTATTTAAGTATTAATAAACTAAGTAAGAGTATTTGGCATGTAAGACACAGGCACACATAGCCACACAGACACACGCGCACACACATGAAGGACATGTAGACAGGTAGGCTGTTGGGCCATTCAGGCAGTCGAGCTATTCATTTGGTGGACAAAGCGGACGCATTTATCAAATGCCTTCTTCCCAACTGAACAAAACACCATAAAAACACCGCAATTGCTGCTTAACTTGGCCAACTTTTCATGTTTGAGAAAAACTGGTTATTAAGCTAAGCAAACACGACATGCAAAAAGAGCAAAGCAGAGCTCCAAGGGTAAAGCGGAAAATGAAGTGGAGAAAAACGTACACGGCGTACCGCTGCTGCAGCTGCCTGGCGGATTTGGCTGCTGGAAACTGAATGGTTAAGTAAATAAGCCAAGTTAACAACAAGGACAACACAGCAAAGCACAACACACATGAACACCCGCACGCACTCTGGCTCACACGAGTAGCAGCAGCCGCAGCAGCAACAGCAGCAGCCGCAGCAGCTCAAATGTTTGCTATTCATACATATTTCACCATGAAGGATTTTTATGCATAAATCGATTTTACTTTTATGTGGCCATCGTTTTGCGTGCGACCATTTTTGGGGCGCTCTATAAATTTACGCTGTCGGGCTCTGCGGCGTATACGTGATTACCGCAGCTGGAGTGGATTTAAACGGACAGCCGGAAAGTCAGACTAGTTACATAGATCAAAACAGCTTAAATACTGAGTGCAAAGTAACTCGATTTGAATTGCACTCAACACTTCGATAGTTTTGAAAGCTCAATGACATAAGTTAATAATTATTTATAGGCTATAAATAAGGCGTATTCAGCAGGAAACTCTGGTCTTTTCTTGACTAACCAAGCATCAGTGTATAGAGCTGTCTGCTCAACGCGCCTTAAGAGACGATTTCCCTAACGATTTTAAGCTATCTTATTTTAACAAACTTGGAAATTTCATCGAGATTTTTACAAATTATGTAAATTACGTAAATGTTTTAATTAATTTATGCAACAATTTTTGAGACTGAAACTTAAATTTGTACTAAGCATAAATAGAAAACGCATACACAATACACATACACACGCACACATACATTGAACATTTTTTTATGTACAAGCGAATCATTCCAAGCGCATTTTGCAAAACTATCTAATAATAGATTAATTCCATTTTATGTTTTTAAGTTCTGCCACGGAATAAAGTGAGTAATAAAAATTAAACGCACATGCGGTTTTTAATTTGTTGTAGCTGCCGTTGTTGCACACTTTGCTGTTCAATTAATTTAACGTGCTGGGCATGTAATGGAGCCAAGCGTTGCATATCGGCTGGACGTACGGGGGCAGGCAACAGGACATGGGACATGGCACAGCAAGTGGGCTTGGCTGGCAGCTGGCAGTTGGCAGCTAACAAGCGCACTCATGCGCTTGGCCAGTGGGTGGCAAGTGGGTGGCCAGTGGGTGTATGGGCGTGTGGGCGTATATATCGCATATTGAAAATTAGAAAACCCACCCAAGGCGACTTATGTGTGCGGTCATAATTACAAACGACGACATTTGGGGGCGGCCGAGGCTATATGGGGCGGTACGGGGCGGTGCTCTAGCTAAAAGCAAAAGAAGCGCACTAATGGAGCGCATGAAAATGAAAAATGAAAAGCGCGACATGCGATATTTTCACTTTTACTTTTGTAATTCCATTTTTTTTTGACACTTTTTGGGGCACAGGCAACGGACATAATTATACAAAGCTAAAAGCTATGTAAATGTGTAGGCAGCGCGACGACCCTGAAAACAGGAAGACTACACACACACACAGATACAGAGACACGCATAGAGTGAACAACATCAACAACATGTGAACTATGTGACAGCAACAAGAAACAGTTGAAAGTGCCGCGTGTCCTGTTGTCCTGTGCTTCTGCCAACGTCATTCACATTCACATTCACATTCACATTTATTGCGTGGCTTCAACGCCAACGTCGACGCGTTTAATTCACATTTTATTTTCGCTGCTGCGGCGGCTGTCGACTGGGCGCGTAATTGTTGCTTCCCTCGGCCAGGACATGGATATAGTACGTTCGCGTTGGCGCTGCACAGCGGACGTGTGCGCGGCACTCAGTGAATTCGCCAGGCCAGCCATGCAAAGCGAGTCGACTGAAAATGTGGAGCCATCGATGGCCAACACAGCGTTGGATTCAGCCGACTCCATGCGCAGCACACCAGCCGCCGAGCCACGACGTCCCAAGCCTGGCATACTCCGTTTGGACATAAACAAACCACGACGTTCATCAGGTGGTTCTGTGGACTTCCGTTGCGTGAGTGGTGCTGGTGGCGGCGGCGGGGCCAGCAGCGCCAATGTCACGGGCGCCAACAGTGAGGTAAGTGAACATGATTTACAGTACGCCAGGGAGTGCTTACGATTTGGCCAGAGCACGTGCAGTCCGTGCAGACGCACAGGCCAACCATCGCTACAAGCAACAACAACAATGGGTCAAGCGCAGATCAAAGAACTTTTCGTTGATGTACTGGTGTATAATTGAAGTATATTTATGCTCTTTAAGGATGTACAGAAAGGCAAATCTATATATACAGATAAACTCAAGAGAGTTGATCGCCAAATATCGGTCAGCTATTGAAGCTTGGCCTTCTTAACAAGCCCTTTTATGAGTTGATTTGAAAATGGCCAACTGAGGATAGTCACACTTTATAATACCTGCTTCAAGAATGGCGGCTATATAAAGTTTATAACAGACGAGCAAGGTGGGGCCTTTGCCCACGTCTAACGCATGGGCACGCATTCATTAAGTCACTAAAGTAGTGTGAAATCTCAGTAAGCCAGTCGCTAACTGTTTAGCCCGTAAGTGGGCCAAGTGTTTGTCACAGAGGCTTTTGTACAATCATCTTGTCTACTTTAAGTTAGAAATGAAATTTACAAATACGCACAAAAATAATATATATGAGCAAACGCGAAACGCTAACGAAATTAACAGCAGAATGGCGGGGGACGCTTCGGATATATCGTCCATGAGGTTTATAACTGGCAGCTCCTTTGAGGGATCCTGGAACGATTCGGTGCAAATGATGGATGGATTTGGTAGCTATCGTTATCCGGATGGCAGCGAGTATCGAGGCAGATTTATGTGTGGCAAGTTCCATGGCTTCGGCCACCTAAAGCTGGCCGCACCCTATCGTTTCACAATCAAGGGCGAATTCCAGAGAGGCAAGCTGGTCAGTGTAGAGGATATGTGGTTCAGTGATGGATTGCACGTGAAGGGCAAGTTCGAGAAAGATCAGTTTCTGAGCAGCGATTGGGACTATCTGACACCGGAAGATCGTCGTTATCAGGCTGAACGCTTCTATGGCCAGCAGCCCGTGGGACCAACCGCCTATTTAACAAAGAGTTTGCCACCAAGACGTGTGCCGGCTAAATGCTTTGACACAGAGGAGGGGCTTTACAACGCTTCATCTGGTTGGCTATTCGATAGACTGCCGCCGTTCAGAAAGGCCATTTACCTTGGATGTCCGCAAGAGAAGGAGTGGATAATGCGTCATTGTCGTACCGAGCGCCTTGCGCAAATCACCGAGCCATCGCCTAGCTTTTGCAGGAAAATCATCAAGAACAATCTGAGTACTGAGTCTGTACAAGTAAAAGACATTGCCATCTATGCACCCAATCACGAGATCAATCGTAAGCGCTACTTCCCTAATGTGTGCCACGAGAAGGAACCAGTTGACACAGATAAACCACGATATCAACGGCCAGCATTCCAAGCGACAAATAAAACTGAGCTTTGCCTACAGGATCGGCTCTCCAAGGAGCAGGAGAAAGCTAAACAGTACGAAGATAAGTGGATAAAGAGTCGAATCAGTGGAAAAATGCGACCAATGCCAAGAGATCGCGTATGGACCAGCAGCTCAGAGCTGCGAGGCGGTGACTCTGGCGTCTCGTGCACCATCTCGAAGAGCAAATCGGATACTAAACTGAAAACAAAGGTGATGGACTTCTACGAATCTGCAATGGCAATGATAGGCCTGAAAAAATCCGAAAGCTTGTATGTGGTTCAATCTAACATGAAGCGTTCGGCGAGCTTTGTGGATATTAATCGATCCATGTTTGAGATTTAACATGAAGACAAGTCAAGTTAAGCTTCTAAGCAAATTCCAGTAAAAAAAAAACAATACTCAAATAATATAAACAAAAATGTTCTGTGAAGACTAGTTTCAGTTCATTAAATATGCCTTTTACAAGATGAAAGAATATAAATGTTGTCAGCTTTATCGTACATTCTGAATCCATTTTATTATCTTAAAAAATATAAAAACTACTCATAAAGCATATCAGTTGAGCAATTCAATGCATTCGAAAGATGAACATTTGTTCAAACTAGTTAGTCTGTTTATCTCTGCTATATGATAACGCTTAAGACCTCAGAGAAGTTTTATCAAGAGTACGTATTCAAATCTCGATAAAAACTCAGCCAGCTTAAATTCGATTTTGAAGCTAACAAATATATGTCAAATCTTATTCAAAAAAAATGTTGGCCGTAATAATTTTCACGTTTAGAATTCATACATGAACTATTATAACACATTTATATGTGGAGATAAGATCAATTACGAGATATAATTATAGCACCAATGGAAAGACTAACTACTAGATCAGCGATAAAATCGGGCGTTCTCACGGGCTCCAAATTTTTTGGCAATTGCAATGAGCTTGGCATGCAGAACTACGGAATTTACATCTATCCAGATGGCACCAAGTATTTGGGACAGTTCCACAACAATCGGTTTCATGGCAATGGAACTATCCAGCTACCGCAGCCATATTCTGTGTACTTCTCTGTGCTGCATCAACATGGAAAGTTGTTGCACATTTATAGGATAAGCTTCAGCGATATGCTCCAAGTGCAGTTCAAAATAACAAATCAGGGACTTAGCTTTGAGGACTGGAACTACTGCACTGCGCAAGATCGTCGCTTCAATTCGGAGTGTTTGTTGAAAACTAATGCGAAAGAATCGGTGGGATCGGCAGGCTCGATAGTCTTGGAATCAATGGAATCTGCGGAGGGCCAAGCCGAGCTGAATCCGATGCATCGCAACATTTTCGATCTAGGCTTTGGCAAACTGAATGATATAAACATGCTGATAGATATACCGACGCATATATCCGCTTCGCCACAGATCTATGTGGGCTGTCGCAAGGTGCGCCGCTGGATACGAGAAAATTGTCGCCATGGACCACTCCAGGGCAAGCACCTTAAGCAAGAAGTGCTAGCCAAGTTTGCACGCCAAATCATACGCAATAATTTAGAGAGTGCCGAGGAGATAGATTCGCATCCAATCCGACAGCATGCTAAGAAGTTAGTGCGCAACAGCAAAGTGTGCCGGCGCTCCAAAAGTGAGGATAGCTCTTGCTCGGCCAAAGAGATGCGCTTGCATTTGGCTAGCACCAGCAGGAGCTGGAGTTCCCTTATGGATCATACATGGACAGTGACGCATGATCCGCCATACCAGAGGATTTCCACGAGAAACTATCCCATACGACGTTCAAAAACTGAGGAAAATGTTTGCCGCTTAAACTAGTCATAGTTTAAAATTGTATATTGACGTTTATTCATATTTTTTTATACGGCTACCCCAAATTCCATAGTAACCATGCTCAACATCTTTTGAGGTTAAATCCATATGCTAAATATATTGCATTGCCTCGTACGTGTCCTGTTTTTGGACGTTAGATTTATGGCGGGCACCTCAAAAACTGCAATCGAACATGGGAAACCACTTAAGATATACACACAAGTATTTATGTGTGTGTGTTGTGGGTGTGGCATTTGGGTCAACGGGTCCTGCTGACTGAAGGCATTTGCAAATGCCGTTGCACCTGTCACAGCGGCTAATGAACCCATAAAGCCCCACCAAATTATGCTACACGTGCGACATGATTTCCAGTTATAGCGGGGCGAAACATAAAGGGATTGGCTGCTCGTGAGGGGGGGTCGTGTCCGTTTTGGCACGCACAGATAAATTTTGACGTTAATTAAAAAGCCGTAGCAGGCGGAACTTCATTTAATTAAAAGGACAGTCGAAAAAGTTTAAGGATAGTGAAATCTGGTAAAAAGCGCTTTCGCTTTCGCTGAAAACATGAAAGCGAGAGTGAAACACGGCGGACGACTAAAAGTTATATGAAAACATATTTCAATAGTGGGCGCGTCCTATGCTCGTCTCTATGTGTGAGTGTACATGTGTGTGTGTGTGTGTGTGTCGTGTGTTTGTTGCTATTGTAATTGGCGATTTTCTTTATCAACCCTTGCATGTTTGATTTTCATTTACATGCCAGGCCAGTCGGCTAGCCTGGCCAAGAATACAACGTGACTCAATCCTGGCACGCACACACACTCACACAGAGACAGAGCTTTGTCGACCATCTAAATGAACATTCGATGTGCTGGCTGGTTGCCTGACTCCTTGGTTTGGCCAACTGGTTACGCCTGGCGTTGTTATCACATGCCGCTGGCGATTTTAACGCTCATTCGTCTTCGTTTCAACTGGGCGAGGAGGTCAACGAGTGGTCAGCCATACGCCATGCCCCCTCACCCATTCCTACCTCAATACCGATGCGCGTGTCTATGTAAATTCCTTAACGTTCTTAGGTGTACGTGTGTGTGTGTGTGTGTGTGTGTGCTCTGTCTGTGTGTGCGTTTTGGGCACGTTTTGGCTTTGATAAGTTTGTTGTACATGGGTAGGGTTCAGTTTGGTTCTTTGCGCTTCATTCATATTCATTCATTATTAGAAAAAATTTAGCTTTGCGCGCTCGCTCGCTCGCTCTTCAACCTGTCTTGGCAATATGTGTGTGTGGGTGTGTGTGTGCGACTGTGTCGCGTTGTCCTTTTGATGTCCTGTTTGTGCGGCTTTGCTGGTTTGAACAGTTCGCTAAGCCGTTCAGTCTGCGCTTAAGTCTGCTCCAAAGCGTTACGACAGCACAACTAGCAAATATTCAAAAATAAATTCTTAAAGATTCAGGACTTAAGTACCTAGCTATTATAATATACAAAGTGAAGAGCCGAAAGTATTATATATGTGCTTTAAAATATATGCGATATATTTAATTGCGAATGTTTTTGGGCGCCATTTGAGAAGCCAAGCGTGGGAGTTTAATTAAAATTGAACAATTCGTAGAACAACTCGGGCGTTACTTCTCCACATCAATTATCCGTGACGTGGGCGCCGCCATGCGATTGGGATAAGGGCGGCTGGCAAATGCAGAGCAGCGCCGACGAGCGCAGAGAATATTATAGAGGACAAAGAGGCAGAAGGTAAGTTCGGATCAAAGCAAATTCCGGCAAATTTTTAAAGGGTTGAGTGAAATAAATGAAAGGCTCTTCACCCACAGAACTGCATCGCAGGACGATAACAGATCTTATGAACTAAACGGTAGGCACGAGAGCTAGCCACTAATAGCCACACTTAATTGTAATTACTTCCCGCAATTTTCGCTTGTTTTCAATGAGCACAGATTTTCACGCACAAAACCAAAGCAGCGACGTCGAGAGCAACCAGCAGGACTCGCCCTACGAACAGCAGCAAAATGGCGCCGTCGATGCTGATGATGACGAGGAGGACTACTCAATTTCCGTATCGGCGATAATGCAAAGACGTGCCAGTGTGCGTGGCTATAGAGGCAAACGTGGCAGTCGCAATTCGCGCCGAGCATCGAGTCCCATGGATCACGTGCTGGATAGTGTGGAGCGGCGACGCTCCAGTGTTTATACCACAAGCTCAGGCAAGGCTCAGTGCAATAACTGCTTTGAAAGATTTCGTTTAACTTACTGCTCTCCAGTGGCTAATCAATGTGTGTGCCCGTGTGCTTGGAGCGAGGAGGCAGTTGTAGTCATTTCAGCAGCTACGTGCGCCCATTTAGTGGCACGTGGTTAACTTGGCGTATGTGTAATGTTTACATTGCTTTTGCCTTTGCAGAGGAGGGCACCAATCAGGAGTCCACGCAGGAGCAAATCTTCGAGAACATACGCCTACACAAGGAGGTCATACAGTCGGTCAAACTACAGCCATGGCCCATACGCAAGAAGGTCAAGCTGGTGCGCCAGGTAGGCTGAAGCTTTGCGTCCCTTTGCCCGGCTAAACTAGGACAAAGCTGGGCGCGTCGCATTTCACGCCTTAGCCTTAGCCTTAGCTAGCGGGCCATTAAATTCACAGCAAATATTTCGATTTCATGTGTCAATCTTTTCTCGCCCTCTTGTCCATGTTTTCTATGTATATTTTATTTCTTTCTTTTCTGTTCCTTTTTTTTTTTGCCTGGCATTTTTAATGATGTTGACAGGCAAAAACGTATGTGGCACGCCACGAGGGCGCGCTGCAGGAGCGCTTTGCCATGTCACGCAGCACGAGAGATTTGTGGGCGAGGTTTAAAATTTTAATGGCAGCGGTAAGTAAAATCTTTCAGCACCCCAAGCCACACACACACACATAGAAAGAGATGCATATGCTGGCCTGCAATTATGGCTTGGGCTGGCTTGTCTTGGCTTGAGCAAACGGTTTGCTTCAACGGAAATGCAAGCCCCAACCCCATTACCATAAAGTCCAAGCCAGTGTCCTGTATATATTTATGCTTTACACACAATTTATGGACCACAAATAAATCAAGAGCTCCATAATTCACAAAAACTTGTCGACACATGCAGCAAGCACATTTTTTGTATACATGGAAACCAATTAAAATACCAATTCGACAGAACTGAGCTCGAGTCGAGTCCAAGGCAGCCACAGCTTTTCACAAGTGCTCTCTATATATTTGTATCTGCAGCGCTGGCGGCACTGGAAAAGGGAAACCGCCAGCTTTCTCACAGTGCTCATACCCTGGGAGCTACGCATCAAGGAAATCGAATCGCACTTCGGCTCCGGCGTCGCATCCTACTTTACATTCCTGCGCTGGCTCATGTGGGTCAACATTATGATTGCCATACCGCTCGTTGCCTTTGTCATTGGACCGGAGGTGAGTCTGTGCTCCAAATGAATGTTGTCATTGGATATTCATATACGGTCTATATATATATCTATATATATTTATATATATTCGTTGCTCAGTACTTTGCCACCAAGCACGATGAGGCGGATCCGCGCAAACGCATGTCCGAGCCTGAATACAAAGTGGCTGGGAATCTTTTTACATTTTGGGAATTCGAGGGCTATCTGAAGTATTCGCCCATGTTTTATGGGTAAGTAGAGCGCGGGCTTTTTAAATAAAACACGCTTCTTATGAAATTGTCGTTTGACTGATGGCTCACATCCTGTTTCTAGTTATTACTCGAGCACTTCCGGCATCAGCACATCCGGCTACAAGCTACCCTTGGCTTATTTTCTAACTGCCGTCTTGGTCTACATCTACAGCTTTGTGGCCACGCTGAGAAAGTGAGTATGGACAGTTCATTAAATCTTGGACATCCAAGCCACAAAAGCAAACTGAATGTCAGAAGTGGTCGTTAATTAATTAAACCGAACATCGCGCTGATTAAATAATACAAATCTTGTCTCTAGGCGTGTCCAGAACAAGAAAAAGGCAAAACTTTTTCGTTTCGCCTATCGGCTGAAACTTGGCCATTATGATTTACGCACGCACGCAGTCGGAACGAGCGTGGGGCAGCGCGTTGGACGCGTGGGGGCGTTCGAATGGATGTGGCAAAGTTGAAGAGCTGGGGAGCGTCTGCCCTTGTTTCATTTAATGGCTTTGTCGGCATTATGTTGATTTCGTAATTGAACAAAGTAGCAGTGTCAACAGCGTGGATGCCGGCACTGACCTTGCCACTTACCACTTGCCCTGCCTACACACCAGCTAGCGAGGCAACGGGCCAGCCAGCCACATGTTGGTGGCACGTGCGCGGCATGCGTGAATTGTACTCATATTTATGTGGCATTAGTCTCTGTCTGGGATTTGTGCGCCAATTATGTTTTGCAGGCAGCTAACAAAAAACTTTTCGCTCTTTTATCTGCATTGACAGGATGGCTGAGAACTCGCGCAATTCGAAACTTTCCTCGAAGGATGATGAGTGTGTGTTCTCCTGGAAGCTGTTCACCGGCTGGGACTTTATGATTGGTAAGTAGGATGCCTCTCGAGTACCGTTATTACAGCAGCTTAGCACACCCACAGGACACGCAGAGACAGCGCATAATCGCATCGCATCCGTTGTGGTTGGCTTCAAGGAGGCGCTACTCGAGGAAGCTGAAAAGAAAAAGGATAATCGCAAGTAAGTAGAGAGGAAATCAGCGTCAATTGCAGTTTATAATTGGAGTCTTATGCTCGTAGCTGGCGCGTTATCCTGCAAAGGATACTGGTGAACATTTTGGTCATGGGCTTGCTGGGATTATCGGGTGCCACGGTCGTACTGCTGGTGAATCAGTGAGTCCACTTCTTCGCCAGCCAAAACACCCAATTATAACCGTCTATTTCATTCGATAGCTCCGAGGATTTGGCCAAGCACGACAATTGGCTTAGCCGCAATGCAGTGAACGTGACGATGACGCTGCTCTCCTTCTTCCTGCCCATGATTTTCGAGGCCCTGGGCTTGTTTGAGAACTGGCATCCCAGGCAACAGTTGCGCCTGCAATTGGCTCGGTAAGCGGACGGGAAAACTCATTAATACCTCCGTCATCAACTAATCTATTTGCCTCTCTCCTGTTGCACTCCAAAGCATCATGATATTGAACATGCTGAATCTGTATTCGCTTATGTTCTCGTTCATCTACAAGATTAGCAGCAAAGATAAGCCATTGCAAAGGCTGAAGCTTGAGAACGATACCAACACTCAGGAGCTGCACAGTTTGATGAGCTCCATTGCAGCACTGCGCGCAATGACAACTACGACGCCCATCTACAGCGACAGCACCTCGGATGGATTCTTTGACGACCTGACGACGACGGCGACGCCCTGGGGCGCCGATAGCAGTGGCTCCACAGATTCTATCTACTCGAGCACAGCTCTGGGTGCAGCATTGGTGTCCGCTGTGCAGAGGCTCAAGTGCTACAACATAACTATAAAATGCTCAAAACCCAGACATCTGTGGATTACATCGAAAAATATAACAACTACACTGCTGTTACTCAATATGTCAACGACAGCGATATTGCCGACAACTACACCTAGCACCACGGAAGCCGCAACAACCACTTGGTCAACTTTGCCACCAATACCAACTACAACAGAAGCGACTACAGTACCGACTACACTTCCTTGGACTACTTTACCTACAACAACCACTGAGGCGACAACCCCAACAACACCAACAACAACGCCGTCAACAACGCCTTCGACAACAACAAGCACTACGACAACAACAACAACGACCACGACCACCACCACCACCACCGAAACGCCTTTTACCACTGACGAGGACCCAGCCTATGACTACGGCAGTGATGAGCCACAGCTGGACTCCTCAACCACAACAACAACGCCGGCTCCGGGCAACGACAGCTACTTCAACTATGTAGATTACTTCGAGGGCGCCGAACTGTCCGATCCTGGCGACGACTATCAGTCAACCACTGAGGAATCAGATGATCCGCTGGCTCAAGTGCTAGCCCAAGTGGATGAGTCCCCCGAAAAAACGAGGAATAGAAGAGCTGTGCCCGATCCACCTGTTTGGCATACGAGCAAATACAGTCGAAGACATCGCAATGAGACAAGAATTCTTTCTAGTATTACCACAGAGCCGTCAACTACTGCCAGCACCCCACCCAGCAGACCCACGTACACCCCATCCTACAGACCACCGAAGCGAGTTCTTAGCGAAGAGGAATGGAATCGCCTGTTGAATCAGGTGCGTGGAGGACGCAGCAGAACAACTACAACTTCCACGACTACAGAGCGGCCCACCACTACGACGACAACAACGACTACAACGACAACTAGGAGAACAACAACCACTGAGGAGCCTACAACGACAACGGACAGCTACGGCACGGAATCTAGCAGTACCGACAGCAGCAGCAGCAGCAGCAGCAGTTACAGCCCCACCAGCACCACTGAAGAATTTGAGTACACAGATCATAATGGAGCCACCATCACGCCCTTTTTTATAGGCGCCGATGATATAGCAGATGTGGGAAGCACCGTTTACTACGATGATGACGACGATCTCGAATATTGTGTGATAACCGTGTGTCCGAAGGCCGGCGAAGACATCTTTGGAGGCAGCACCACACCCGATGGATTAGACACCACGCTGAGTGGTGAAGTCAACCATCCCACGACCGTAAAAAAGACAGCACTGGAACTAAAAATGATAAGGATGAAGGAAGTTGAGCTGACACTCAAACAAATCCAAATGAATCTGACGACGATGTGCTGGGAGACATCCCTCGGTCAAGAGCTATCAAAGGTCATCGTCTTCGATGGGGTAAGTAAAGCGAGGGGACCAACTACTTAACAAGAGCCCCAAACCAACCACAGTTTAAACACAAATTTATCATCATCAGTGGCAGCTATCAATTTCCTTTGCGCCAGGCAAATGCTTCGTTTCCGGCACCGGACTCAGGCAGATAAACAGCTGCCATTTGGCACATATCAAAGAGCTATTTAAACCTAAAATATGATCGAACTTTAAGATAAAAACAACAACAGTTTCCACTACAGATACGCAACGCCCAAGCGTGAAATCCCGTTTAGCCAAATTGTGCGGAAAATACTTTAAAAAAATTTGTTTTCCGCTTTTCATGCACAAAAATCAAATTTTGGCTGCGTATGGAGCCTTGCGAAAGCTGTAAAAGGAGATGGAGAATAACGACAGGGAGAGAGAGAGAGAGAGAGAGGGAGACAAGCTTAGAGATAAAATAAAAATACGTTGCAACGTTGCTAAGGATGTCACCGACTAAAAGATACTCTCCTTAGTGCATTCGAGCAACATCAGCAAAAATATTTTAGGAAATTCCATAAAGGAAAGCAATTACTTAAGCCTTAACACTAAGCAGATGACTAAAGTGTTACTGCCAGGTAGTCAGCTCTCTATGCCATATACCCAATAGACCATTGGGAACAGGGCAACAAAAGTATTTTATCATACTAATCGCTCTCTGGAGTCTTTTAGCCAGCAGACACAGCTGGCATCCGCCGTCTGGCCAAAATTTATATCAATACCCATTTGCATAAGAAACATTTTTGAACTTTTGGCATCGATTTCTCAAGTTTTTCCTTTGTTGAATGAGTGTCGATTGGCCAAGGATTTGATTTTGAACTTCAAGGCTAATCGCCAACAAATTCATGGGGATCTACGGCCAACTTTTCAGGGTCAATCGGTCTTCACTTTGGGCCTACTTTTTGGCTGTTGCTGTAAACAGCTTAGGACGAAGCAGCCCAAAAAAATACAGAACAAAAAAGGACACGCGATTTTGATTATGAACAGATTATTGTTGTTGTTGTTGTCAACTCGACATGGCGGACGTAATCTCTATTAAACGATTTGGGCATATAAATTAAACAATTTACGAGGCTTCAGTTAAGCGCATTTATGCCTTATGCATAACAAAATTTTCAGAGCTGCGTTCGTTAAGGGCAAATTGGGTTTTGGCTTGGTTTGGGCATTGGTGTTGGGGGTTTGGGGCTTGGGGTTTGGGCCATGTGCGGTTTTACGTCAGGGAGTTGAGCACGTGTTCGTGCATGAATTTCGGTTGGAAAATGAATGGGTTTTTCGGTCAGATAGTTTGGGGCAAGCAAATCGGCTATAATCATGGCCTTAACTGCAGCCAGGCAGGACACGACAAGACAATGCACAGAATGGGCAACGTGTGGCGAGTTTTAAGCAGAGACCCGTACTTCATTGCAACATGCTCTTAACCCACTAATCCTCTTCACCAGCTGATGTCCATTGTGGCGCCATTGTGCATCGACTTCTTGCGCGCCCTATTTGTGCGATATGTCAATCAAAACTGGTGCTGGGACATGGAGAAAACGTTTCCACAGGTAAGCGATAGCCCATCCCTTGGCCCACTATGCAACTCTCAACTCTCGACCTGGTGACTAATGTGTTCGCTTTGTTTTTGTGGCGTCTGACATGCAGTATGGCGACTTTAAGATAGCCGAGAACATCCTGACGTTGATTAATAACCAGGGCCAAGTGTGGATGGGCATATTCTTTTCGCCGGGGCTGGTGCTCATCAACCTTGTCAAGCTGATGATTATGATGTACTTCAGGTCATGGATAGTGCTCACATGCAATGTGCCCCACGAGGTGGTCTTCAAGTGAGTGTCCCAATGGCCAGAGCTTAGCCTTAATCAATTGCTTCACTTAATCAATCGATACTTGCAGAGCGTCTAAGTCCAACAACTTCTATTTATCGCTGCTGCTGACCATGCTGTTCCTCTGTGTGCTGCCCGTGGGCTATGCAATTGTCTGGCTGCGTCCCTCCTGGCATTGCGGGCCATTCTCGGAGTACAATCGCATTGCGGAATTCATTACGAATACCACGCGGAACGCGTTGCCTAAGTAAGTACTAAAATAATCAAACAGCCAAACAGTCTGGGATTATTTTACTCTTCTTCTCGCATCAACAGGCAACTCCACGAGCCTCTGGACTATCTGACATCCTCCAGTACCGTTATACCTTTGCTACTTCTGCTCATACTCATCATCTACTATCTTATATCGCTGACTGGCGCGCTCCGCGAGGCTAATCAAGATCTGCGCACTCAGCTGCAGAAGGAGCGAGAGGAGGAGCGCAAGAAGATTTTCAAAGTACCAGAGGTTAAGCAGGCGGAACCAACGGCCACCACGTTGACAAATCGCTGGCGCAAGGTACTCGAGGCATCCTCCCCTGTCACGCCCACACAGCCACCAGATTTCGACACTGAGGAGTACAAGAATCAAGCTAGAAAAGGTGAGCCAAACACTGAAAATTCCAGAAAACATTACATAAGCCTCCGTTGCGCCTCACCAGAGCTCATCTCACGCATCATGAAGAAGGCGCTGCGAAAGGGCTCGGCCACCTCGGACGAGGACTCCTTTGTGCGACGCGATGATGATGACACGGACACTGAGCACCAGGACTCGCTGCCTCACGATGAAGAGCCCAAGGAGAAGCGCTTTGGCCTGTCACGCCTGCAACAGATACGACGCACTCGGAAGCCATCGCTTGTGGACATCGTGCAGATTGCCAAACAGGAGCGGGCACGTTCCGGTTCCATTGCGGCAGCCAATGCGGCACTGGGTGGTGGTGGCAGCAGTCCGGGCACAGGCGTTGGTGATGGCGGTGACCACTTTCCCGTTAAAGAGCCACATCCCAAGAGCCGCTTCAAAATCGAGAAACATGAGAAGAAGGAAAGGGAAAGCTTTAGGGATAAAAGGGACAAGCACAAGCAGCCGCACAACGAGTCGACGTCACCGAAGCCCATCGAACATGATGCAGAGACAAACACTCGCGTTGTCAACGAACGACGCATTAGTTTACTGCGTCGCAAGCGAGAAAAGGATGAGCACTCAAAGCCAACAACGCCGGAACCGGAATCACAGCCCCCCTCAGTTATGACCGCGGATCAGCCCACACCCGAAAGCAAATTTCACATTGTAGACGAGAAAAAGCCAGCAGAGCATGAGGAAGAGGAGCAGGAAAACCCATTCAAGGAATTGCCGCCGCTTCCAAAAGAAGGTGGCCATCTAGAAGGTCTTGGCTTGGGTAAGTTTAAGTTCCGCAAACACAGATCGAAGGCAAACATCGTGGCGGCCAAGCCCGAACCCGAGGTCTTCAAGTTTGATGAGCAAAGTCTGGAAAAGAACAAGTCTGGTGAAATACCACAAGTGCCCAGTTCCGAGCACCTGAACAGCGAACAGGCCAGTGGCAGTGAGCCGCATGCGCTGCCCTCGCCCACTCCCAGCCAGATGCACAGTCAGCGCCAAATGAACGCCGAAAAGTTGGCGTCGCTCTCACGCCAGGGGCGCAAGAAAATTGGTTCGTTGCTGGCCTTAGTTCGCGAGGCGGTCAACATCAAGAAGGATGACGTGGAGCAGGGTTCCGATGAGTCACCAGGTCCAACCACGCCTACATACTTGGCTTATACACCACCGCCACCGCCATCGCTACTGTCAAGCAATTCGAGCGCCACAGCATTGGAACTGCCGCCCACACCGGAACCGGACTCGCCTACGCCTAGCGCGCCTTTGCACTTTGGCAGCAGCACATCCTCGGCAGCCAGTCGTCCAACTGTCAAAATACCACCAATGTCAACCCCTGCCTCAAGCTCGACGCCCACCTTGGCCACCATGGATGATCTTGAGGAATTGGATATGCCCGGTCCTATAACGTTCCCAAAACGCAGTGCTTCCCAGCGGCGACGTGTCATGAGAGAGGACTCCCAAAGCTCCCTCTGGTCTGATAATATACCAACAATTACCATCAGCACCACCGGCAGCGACGAGTGCATCGTGGAACAGGATCCAACAGCTGCAGCTGTTCCAGCAACCCCAGCAGCAGCCGCTATAAATGGACTGCCCGAAGGCAGCGATTCACCTGGCCCCACGGTCAACATCATAAAGATCAACATAGAGGATAGCGACGAACATTAAAACTATTTCCACAACTCTTCAGCACAGAAACCAAAAGCCATATTGTCTTCTTAACTAATGAAATTCATTTAGTCTATTTGCAATTTAGCTTAAACTTGTTAAAAAACAACTTGTTAGCAGAACTCTAACTGTCTATCAAAATATCTATATATTGAATAAAATAGTTTGCTTTCCTTGAATTTTGCCAACTTTGCCATTTACTAGATAAATAAATAAAATGAAATAATTTTACCTTAAGAGATTGCCTAATTTGTACAGTTAGAGAGAAGCTCTCAGTCGTACACAGGCGCCATGGGTTTCGTATCAGTCAGCTTTGTAGCAGAGTACACAATAGCTAAGACACAAACCTTCCGTTTCAATAGGTTAAAATAATCGCAATTTGAAAGCATCTATAAGGATATAAATAAATTTAAGAGTTAACTTTAAATAATTTAATTTTTAAGTGAAGCTATAAAATATTAACAAATTTTAGTCTTTCATAAATGGTGTTTTTTATGTGGAATAAATTAGCATTGAAATATAAAGTTCTCTTGGCACAAAAGTCTAAATCTAATGTTATATAAATCATGCAATTATTTCGTTTATATTGACTTTCATTCAAGAACATTTAACTATAAATTTCCCTTGAGCTTTGCTATAAGTTTTAGACATTTATTTAGTCAATGAAACAGAAAGTGGTTTTGCTTTTTTTTTGTACAACGAATTCTTATCAGTTGGGAAGCGATAACCTGTTAGCTCTGTAAGCAACTACTTAGGTCCAAAAGTGGAACGGAGAGCACAGCCTCCGATAGTGCTGGGCACTAGGCGCACGAGTATCTCAACAAGCTCCAACAGATATATGCAATGCCTCATACCTAGATAGCAAATATTTGCCGAGACAAACAAAATTCTCTAAATGTGTTGGAAATTTAAAACCCAACGATGGAAGACGGGCATTACAATTAAACATCAATTCATAAATCTGCAAAACACTCCACTCGCTCTCCAATTTCAGCTACACAAAGTTGCCCGGCTCAGCTAAGCCCAGGCAACAAAAGAAGCTCGTCGAGTGCCCATGCGCCAGAGCAACAACAACGATCGTGCAGCTACTCACTGACACACAGACAGAGGCGCAGACACTGATACGAGCAGAGCGGAGCAGAACAGAGCAGAGCAGAGTCGAGCAGCGCAGAGCACAGAGTTTCACTCAACGAGAGCCGCTGAGCGGTCGTGCCGCATTCCTCAAGAGTCAGTTGAGCATTGGACGTCCTCGATAGCGGTTGCCTGTGGTGTTCTGTGCGGAGTAAGTGCGACAGCGTTGGCTGCTGAAGTGATCGGTGGTGCTTAATGGTGATCCGTGTGGAGGAGTCTTTGCTTTTCTTCTGGAGCTCTTCCGATTTTTATACTTTTTTTCGGCTGCCCCGCGCTGCGTGTTGTGTGTCTTTTTTTTCGTTGTTTGCTTGGGCCGTCGCAGACAGAAAAAAGAAAACCTCAAGATAAAAAAGTATCTTGTCGTATGTCGATGCATGTGTTTGTTTGTGTGTGTGTACTTATGTGTGTATGCGTGTGAGTGTGGCAGACGGTGTATGACGAACTGTTTACTCAAAAGGTTCTTGCCTTCGATGTAGTGATACAATTACAACAACTGAATAAGAAAAAAAAGAAGCAACCTCGTTAAATTGTACTTAATAATGAAACAAAGCAACTACAAAAATTGTACAATTTCCGAGTCAGCAGAAAAGTGAGAAGTCGTGTGCAAAGTACACAGAAACCCAAATGAAAAACTCGAAATGAAAGCAAATGCGATGACAAATGCAATTAAACACATGTGAATTCAACTGCGTGAGATTTTCCATGCAACAAACCAAAACTATTTCTATAAATGAAACAGCAAATGCTCTGGAAAACCCTCACAAATATCAACCAAATGCAGCCTGCGCTAGAAGCAAACAAAAAGTATCTACAACAAAAATAAGCCATAAATAAACGCAGATTTTAATGTTGTGCTGCTGCCCTGTGCATCGCTAAGATACAAACAAAATAAAAAAAAAAATAAAAAAAAGTAAACCAAAAAAAAAACCAAGTTTCGTAAAAGTATCTGACTCAAGTGTGGTGCAGTTTCTTTTGAGTGAGTTCGAGTTGCTTTTCCTCTACCTGAACGGCTGTACGTGTGTGTGTGGGTGTGCGAGTGTGCGTGAGCGTATGTGTTGAAGCAGTTGATAAAAACAAACGCTTCAATAAAGATAAATACCAAAAGGTGCAAACAAAAACGACAACTCACAACAACAACTACAACAAAGTGTATTCTGTGCCATAGTATGTTATGTTGTGCAGTGTTTCTACTATGTAGTGTGGCTCGGTCTCAATCAGAATCTGAATTCAGTTCATGCCAGCAGCACATATCGCACTAGTTCGTAGCCCCAAATTCTTATCGCTAAAGGAACTCGTGCTCATAGGCGCGTATCGCAACAGGCGCAACAGCTCAACAATTGAAATCTGAATGGAGCGGATGTTCGTTCTTTCCAGCATTAATAATATCTCTATATGAGAACGACCACAACAACATATAGAAGTGTTTTTTTTTTTATTATTTGAGTCTTGGCCTCAGCTGAACTCATTCCCAAAGGGTTTCAAACACACACACGCACAGACTTGGCTTGACATCGGAGAAGAGTGTATCAACTGTTGCCCCAGCGACAGTCTCCAAGATGTTCTTGTGCCTTAATTTAGTTTCGAAATGAAACAGATTTTTTTGTTCTTCAAAAATAAACCAAAAAGTGAAACTAAACTGATAAGCCAAAGCACAAGTCTATAGAGTTCAACAGTGGCTTCCATAAATAAATTTCAAATTAAATATTTTGTGCAAACAAACATTTGCTCTCAAGTCTCGCCGAGAGTATTACGAAATTGTGTTTACCCTGAAAGAAAAAAATTGATAGAAACTAAACCAAACAGTGCCCAAAGAGCTATAGGGTGAATTCTAATTCCAGGAATATGTTTGTATTCATATAACTATATATATATCCATATATTCTACATTTTATTCAGTATCATTATCTTACTCATGTTCTGCTTTCGACCCATTATAACTGGAAATATCTTGTAAATCCCCTTTTCTTATGCCATTTATGCATTTTTATTTTTTTTATGTTCTGCAGTATTCAGCAAGTTCTCATAGAATTTACCTCCTCATTTTCAAAACTGTCTGGCCACAACTATTTAATGATATCATCTCAAATCTTTACTTAGTAAATAGACTCAATTTACTGTGCATATTTGCTAATTAGCGGCATACACAAAAAGCTACTTAGGCATGTGAGAGATGAGTTCTCTTTAAATGAATCCAACCTTGGCTAAGAATAAGATGAATGCATGCCAAGATTCCTTTAACAAGTTCTTTAATAGCCTGCACATTTTCTTAAGTAATTGCAAACTATTTTTATTTTGTTCTTTTTTTTCGTTGTTATCCAGATATGTATCTAGATACATGTGTTTGGTGTGCATGGGCGGAGTAAGCGCAGATGAAATCATCGTCTGGAATAATTTCAAGTTTCATTTAGAGGCTAGAGCAACTACGAAATTGCGGTGGGGTGGTGCTGCCACTGCCGAGTGGGGTTAGGCATGGGGTGGAGTGCACACATAGTCGGAAACACAAATTTTTTGTGTTCAATGCTTGAGTTCATTTCCATATGAGCGAGTGTGTGTGGGTGTGTGTGTGTGCGTATGTTTATTTATGTCTTTGCTGTTGAATTTTGTTGTTATTTGAAATTTACATTTGCAGTTTTTTGGTTTTGTTTTGTTTTGTTTACACTGAGGCGATGGAAGCTAGTGCGGTTGCCGGGGCAGCCTGATGGAGCTCGCAGACAGATCGTGCAACTTATTGACTGACCGGACAGCAAAGTTTGTTTTTATGAGGCAGCTTTGGGACCGGCGAATGAACTAATTAAAACCGAGCAACAACAAAGCAGATAAAATGTTTTTTATTTAGTTCCACAATATGTGCAGCAGATGTTTTCTCTTTTTGCCGAAAATCTTAGATCAACCACACATATATCTCTATGTCTATGGAGAGGCATTAGCTAATCGACGTCTTTATATATCTTGTGCATTTTGCAGCGAGTGAAGCCGCTCAAGAACCAGCCACCATCTCCTTGAGCCACTGATGCCTTTTAACTCCAGTGCAACTATGCTTTAAACTGTGACATTGAACAAGAACTGAAAAACAAAACACCCACCCAAAATATTGAAACGACTCGAATAAGTGTTGAGAACCCTATTAAAACATAGTGTTACGATTAGTACGTAGAGCCAGTATAGCCCCAGTTCGCAAACCCGAAGCTCACGATGAAGCGCAATAGGCGGAGTCTCAGCGAAGGCTCCACCGCAGCGCGCCTCCTGCTCGCCGGAGCGCTCCTCTGCAGCTGCGCGGCGACCGCACTTGGTGCACAGCGTCAGCCCATTAACTCTGCCGGCGGACACGAGCTGCGCGGCACCACATTCATGCCGGCGCTGGAGTGCTACGATCCCTACGGCCGACCCCAGGTAAGAGCAAAACATGCGGGAAGTGGGTGGAGCTACTGCTCTCTATATAAATCATAGACAAATTGTTTACTGTCAGGCAATTAAATTAAGAGAGAATTGGCACGCGCTTCTTCGGCTGGGTCAATAGAGCTGCTGAGCATCAATTTGCTTGTAGACATACAAACTAATTGAACAATGAAGACAATTTAGTTGAGCACAAATTGTTGCGACTCTGTCACTTAGTTTTGTGCCTGGAGCAGAATAATAATGACACTGTATATGGGGTTGAGGTTCTGACGAACCTTAAAAATATATACATCATTTATATTTGTATATATCAAATTTCCCTTCAGAAATGCTTGCCCGAGTTTATCAACGCTGCCTACCAACTGCAAATCGAGGCGACAAATACCTGCGGGGAGCACGGCGATAACCACTTCTGCATGCAGACAATGAATCCGAATCTGAAAAACTGTGCTGTCTGCAGGTAAGCATGAATAGTTCTCGCTTCTCTCTTGCAATATAAATACTATATCTACCACGATTCCGCTTAGGTATGAGGATCATAAGCCTACATTCCTGACGGACTTGCATGATCCCCAGGATCCCACCTGGTGGCAATCGGAGACCATGCTGGAGGACATTCAACATCCCAATCATGTCAACTTAACGCTGCATCTGCGTAAGTCCAACAAGCGAGAAATTCGAACATTAAACATTTATTTACGTTTTCAATTATTATTATTTTAGGTAAGTCGTACGACATAACCTACGTGCGCATTCTCTTCCGTTCGCCACGACCTGAGTCCTTTACGATTTACAAGCGCACCACGGAGAACGGCCCCTGGATACCCTACCAGTTCTACAGTGCCATCTGCCGGGATACCTACGGCCTGCCCGATTCGCGTGCCATTCGCAAGGGCGAGGGTGAGGCGCATGCGCTCTGCACCAGCGAGTACAGCGACATCTCTCCACTGCGCGATGGTGAGATCGCCTTCTCCACGCTCGAGGGTCGTCCGAGTGGCATCAATTTCGAGCGCAGCTTGGAGCTGCAGGATTGGGTAACAGCCACTGATATTCGCATCACACTGAATCGCCTGAATACCTTTGGTGATGAACTGTTCGGCGATGCTCAAGTGTTGAAGTCCTACTTCTATGCCATCAGCGATATTGCCGTGGGCGCGCGTTGCAAGTGCAATGGGCATGCCAGCAAGTGCGTGGCCAGCACCGGAATGCACGGAGAGCGCACACTGGTCTGCGAGTGTCGCCACAATACGGATGGACCCGACTGCGATCGCTGCTTGCCACTCTACAATGACGTCAAATGGAAGAGGGCCACCTCAACGGAAGTCAACGAGTGCAAAGGTAGGGAAGCAACAGTTGCTAAAAACTGGTTACAATGCGGCACAGTGAGCCAATGCCGGTAATAATCAAGGCAAAAAATCAACAGAAACTATGGAAAGGCCAGCCAAAGTTGGTTATTTAATAAGTTCATTGACGTACTACCTATCTGTCTAAGTTCGCTTGTCAATAGCTTTCGTCCCACTGTGCCTGAGTTGCTATATATGGACAAACTGCTTCGCCGTTAGTTGCCACAACTGTTAACACTTTATGTGCAACTTGTGCTCAAATTGTCAGTCATGTTGAGGCTGTGGTTGCAACTTGTCTGCCTAGTGGCATCTGCCAAAGCCTACGGCTGGTCCCATGACCATGCCATAGAAACTAATCTCATAGTCCCCAGCTCCGCTGGCCATTGGTATCTCATCAACTGTAATGCACGCTGACGAATTTCAAATCATAGTTCAATTCGCAACATGAAAATTAACTTACTTACAGCTTGCAACTGCAACAACTTTGCGGACAAGTGCTACTTCGATGCAAATCTCTTCAATCTGACGGGCCATGGTGGCCACTGTCTGGACTGCCGCGACAACCGCGATGGACCCAACTGTGAGCGCTGCAAGGAGAACTTCTACATGCGCGACAACGCCTACTGCATCAACTGTGGCTGCGATCCCGTCGGCTCCCGCTCGCTGCAGTGCAACAGCCAGGGCAAGTGCCAGTGCAAGCCCGGCGTGACGGGCGACAAGTGCGATCGCTGCGCCAACAACTACTTCCAGTTCGGACCTCATGGCTGCCAGCCTTGTGGCTGCGATTCGCATGGCTCCCACGACAATACGCCAACCTGTGATGCCGAAAGCGGCATTTGCTACTGCAAGGAGAACGTCGAGGGCAGACGCTGCAATGAGTAAGTGGCACAGAGAGATCAAATCCTTTATCAAACAGCTTATCTAATTTTTTAATAGATGCAAACCGGGCTTCTTTAACCTGGATAAGAACAATCGGTTCGGCTGCACGCCCTGCTTCTGCTATGGCCACACCTCCGAGTGCCAGACCGCGCCTGGCTACTCCATTGTCTCGGTCACCTCCAACTTCAACAAGCACAAGGAACGATGGACCGCAATCGATCTGAATCGCCGTGACGTAGACATCAAATACAATCAGTATAGTCGAAGCATTGGCACCACAGCTCAGGGCAACGAATACGTCTACTTCCAAGCGCCGGATCGCTTTTTGGGCGATCAACGCGCTTCCTACAATCGCGATCTGAAGTTCAAGCTGCAGCTGGTGGGTCAAGTGGGACCCAGCAGCAGTGCCAGCGATGTTATCTTAGAGGGCTCCGGCAGTAAGATATCGTTGCCCATCTTTGCCCAAGGCAACGGCATTCCGGACCAGGGTGTCCGAGAGTACACGTTCCGTCTGCATGAACATCACGACTACCAGTGGCAGCCCAGCCAGTCGGCGCGTGGCTTCCTCTCCATTTTGTCCAATTTGACAGCCATCAAAATCCGCGCCACCTACTCCGTGCAGGGTGAGGCCAATCTTGACGATGTGGAGCTGCAAACAGCGCATAGAGGTGCTGCCGGGCAACCGGCTACCTGGATTGAGCAGTGCACCTGTCCCGAGGGCTACCTGGGTCAGTTCTGCGAGTCGTGTGCACCGCGTTATCGCCACAGTCCAGCACGTGGTGGACCCTTCATGCCATGCATACCATGCGACTGTCATGGACATGCGGATATTTGTGACTCGGAGACAGGCAGCTGCATCTGCCAGCACAACACCCAGGGTGATAACTGCGATCAGTGTGCCAAGGGCTTCTATGGCAATGCCTTGGGCGGCACTCATAACGACTGCAAGCGTTGCCCCTGCCCCAACGATGGCGCCTGCATGCAAATCAACGGCGACACGGTCATCTGCACAGAGTGCCCCGTGGGCTACTTTGGCTCCCGCTGCGAGCAGTGCAGCGATGGCTTCTATGGCGATCCAACTGGACTGCTGGGCGAGGTGCGAACCTGTAAGAGCTGCGACTGCAATGGCAATGTCGATCCCAATGCCGTGGGCAACTGCAATCGCACCACCGGCGAGTGCTTGAAGTGCATCCATAACACAGCTGGCGAGAACTGTGATCAATGCTTGCCCGGACACTTCGGTGACCCGCTAGCCCTGCCTCACGGTAAGTGCGATCGCTGCAGCTGCTACGACGCCGGCACCGAGCAGGACGAACAGAGCATCTCGCGGTGCGATCAGGTCACAGGTCAGTGTCAGTGCAAGCCGAATGTCATTGGACGCGACTGTGGTGAGTGTCAGCCTGGCTACTTTAATATACGTTCCGGCAATGGCTGCGAGAACTGCCTGTGTGATCCTGTGGGCAGCTACAACTCCACCTGCGATCGGTATACCGGTCAATGCCACTGCAAGCCAGGTGTGGTGGGCTTGCGCTGCGATCAGTGTGAAAACTTCTTCTTCGGCTTCTCCGGGGACGGCTGCAAGCCATGCGAGTGCGACGAGAGTGGCTCCAAGGGCTTCCAGTGCGATCAGAATGGCCAATGTCCATGCAATGATAATGTAGAGGGACGTCGCTGTGATCGCTGCAAGGAGAACAAATACGATCGGCAGCGCGGCTGTGTTGCCTGTCCAGATTGCTACAATCTTGTGCAAGACGCAGCTGATCTGCATCGCGCCAAGCTGGCCAATTTGAGCTCAACGCTGGATGAGATTGCCCGCACGCCAGTGACAAACGATGAGGAGTTTGAGGGCAAGTTGAAGGCAGTGCAGGAGAAGGTGGCCATATTGGCACAGGACGCGCGCTCCGGCTCTAGCGATGGTGGTCAGACCTATGTTGAGGTCATTAACGATCTGCACAAGCGATTGGACAGCATGCGTGATCACTTAGTAAGCGCCGATGCACTGCAGCAAGATGCCAATGCGGAAATCGAGAAGGCACGCAGCAACTACACGCAGCTACGCCTGATCATCGATGATGCCAAAAAGGAGCTACAGGACGCATTAGATCTACTCAATGATGAGGGCGCACAGGCCCTGGCCAAGGCCAAGACCAAATCTATGGAGTTTGGTGAGCAATCGAAACAAATAGCCGTCATTTCCCGCGAGGCCCGCGCTCTTGCCGATCGCCTCGAGTCGGAGGCGAAGTACGATCTGACAAATGCTAAGGACGCCATGGATGCTGTAGAGAAGGCCAATCTGCTGGCCAAGAATGCCATCGACTTGCAGCAAAAGGTTGGCGTTGAGCTGCGCTCCGAAGTACGCCTCGAGCTCAATCAGGTGAAGCAGTCACTTGGCACAGTCGCTCAAACCTCCAAGGAAGCACTGCGCAAGGCCAACGAGGTGTACGATGCGGCTCTCACCCTGCTCAACGACGTCAACGGTCAAACCCAGCCGAACATTGATATCAATATGCTGAAGAAAGAGGCAGTGGCTGCCAATGAGAATGCAGATGCTCTGCTCAAGCAGATCGACGAAATGTCTAACAACAATGGCGAGGTGTTTTCTAACTTTGAAGTTGAGCGCGATTTCTCCCAAGTGCTGCTCGAACGGTAAGCCATAGCTACAGTAAGCTATAGAAACGTTTCGATTAACAAATTCATTACACAGCGCCGATACACAGAAGAAGGATGACATCGAGCTGCTGGGTCGAGCTAAAGCTGCCTTTGAACGGGCCACCAAGGCAGTGGAGCAGGGCGACAGTACACTCAAAGAAGCCAATAAGACTTACAACACACTAGCGGGCTTCCAGTCCGATGTACAGAAATCGTCCGAGAAGGCTGCCTTGGCATTGGAAATGGTGCCCAGCATTAAGATGGAAATTGAGAATGCGGACAATCTAATACAACAGGCTGGCAATGCTCTTCAAGGCGCCAACAAGAATGCCAACGAGGCCAAGAATAATGCACAAGAGGCCCAGGAGAAATATGCCGAACAGGCCTCGAAGGTATGAAAAAAATGAATCTCAATTCTTTTATATCCTCTACTTATTTGTCATACTACTACAGGATGCTGAGCTGATACGTCGCAGTGCAAATGAGACAAAGGTCGCTGCTCGTAAGCTACGCGATGAGGCTGATCAGTTGAACCATCGGGTGACGCTGACTGAACGCGACATCACCCAACTGGAAGAAAATTCAACCGAAGATGATAATCTTGTGGATGATGCCAAACGCAAGGTGGGCCAGGCCAAGGCAGACATGCAGGACGCACAAAAGCAAATTGAAAAAGCCAATAGCGAGCTGTCAGCAATCAAGGATGAGTTAGAGAACTTAAGGGACATCAATACATCGGATTTGGACAAATTGGGTAAGCTAACTGGAAATCTTAGTAGAGCGCTTCATAACTGACAATTATCTTTCTGTGTTGTATCAGAAAATCGGCTCAGTTTGGTGGAGACGGACATCAATAGTGTGAATCTGACTGGGCGCATTGAGAAGTACCGAGAACAGCGGAATATACAAAAGAAATTAATCGACAAATACGAAGCAGATTTGAAAGAGTTATCCGGTGAGGTGGATAATATACGTTTAATATCTGAAGCGCTGCCAAGTGGTTGCTTTAGGCGCAATCGTCTAGAGCCCTAGACATATAGACCCTAACTAAGTGCACTACCAACTACCAACTACTTCAGTTAACATCTAAGTACGAGGCGAAGACGAACAAATAAGGAATTAGCCGTACCCGTAGCCGTTGAATGAAATTATGTAATTTTAGTCTTTTAGCTGAAATATTTTGTTTAGTGAAAGAAAGAAAGAAACAAACGAACCAACGATAAGCGAGGAGCTTTAGCTTCACAAAGCATCGTTCATTTATTATCGTTATAATATGATGCCAATATTGAAACAAATTTCTAAACTGCCAATTGTGCTTTCAATTCAAGCCAGCCATGGACGACTGTATTATACTATATATTGAAAACTGTGCCGTGTACCAAAACCTTAAATCTATATTGCATTTCTATATCTTCCCCCTGTGTGGCCTTGCCATATTGCAATCTATTCTATATATATTAACATACATTTGTCATCTACGTTTAATGTGCCAATTACAATATTTTCTACTGTGCTTAAGTCGCCTTATGAATTTCACCTTAAAATAAAAGTTTTCCAACGTTGTAATTTTTTGTATAAAGTACGAGATTGATATTATTTGTCATTCATATTGCGCAATAGCAAATAAAAGTTTCCACTCAACCGAAATACCTGAAAAGGACTCAAAAAAAGCTAAGTATTTTGTGGATTTTTTTACATTTATATTCTAAAGACTCACCTGCACCAGCAACTTATTGGATAATTTCGAAAAGCCCCCGACACTCAGCTTAGCGGTGCGCATTGAAAAAACCATCATTAGTCTTATTATGAGCTTAAAGTCCTCAGATTCGTTGTACCAAGCGCAGTTATACCACTCGTGAAACAATAGTTCACTCTATATAGGTTTGTATTAGTCTTGGAATAACTGAGGTACAGGTGCTTACCTGTGTCTCAACCTTCTGCGCGTTGACATTATATAAACTGATTTCGAACGTAATTGTTAGCAAGTAAACCAATATCGCGCTCATCTTGACCAAGTCAACTTCCTGAAATATTCAAGTATAAATTATGGAATCCATATAAAGCGGGGACTTCCACTTACCATAATAGTATAAAGCAGCATGCATAACAAAATGGTGCTTACCCCACATTGTACTAGAATAATATACTTAAACAGATTTTCAACCCGATCATGATGTCTGTCGTTGAGAATTTAAAGGATTACACATAGTTGGCATTTATCTACCTTTCTCATTACCTGGAGAGACGTGCAAAAAGCTTGGCACAGCAACGCAAGTATGAAACCCTAGATGATTTGGGAACCACATCATCATTTGTTGAATTGTTAACCAAATATCGCAGCACCTCAAAAAGACAAGCTTCATGATTGGTCAGCACAACAAAGAGACTATTGAAGCCAAAGACAGCTAACATAAGATACAGATATAAAGATATAGAAGTATAGATATATAGAGTTATAAATATATAGATATATAGAGATATAAATATATACAAATATAGAGATGTAGATATACATATATTAGCCAAAGTTAGCTCTTACTATAAAAACACCAGACTGGTCCAGATTGCAAAACAAAAAATCGCACAGAGAAGGAGGGAAATTCATAGTTGCCCACCTGAACGAAGGGTGTTATTGCGGGATAGGCTATAAAATATAAATGGCATATGGCTATATATGTGGACTTGACCTTGCGATAAATAAACTCACTCAAAGTCATCTCACAAATATCCCGCACTACATAGCAATCGTAAATATATTGTAAGTAGGGTCGCATGCAATAAAATAGAACTGGCAATGAGACGATTTTGAAGAAGAACATAACCTGATTATTAATGCTCTTCCAGCTGTCTCTTATCTTTGTGCTCAATGCCTTGCTCAACGCTTGCTTGTCTGTTAAAGCTGAGAAAGAATATCATTTAGACATATATGTAAGTAGTTCGATTTCCTTATGCTTACCCACATCAAATAGCCCCAAGTTCCTTAAAACTTCACACTTTTCTGAGGTGCTAATGAGATCCACACAGGAATCGAGATGACTGTGAAAATACGCAATCTTTACCATGTTCATAGTTATTTGAAAGCAAAGAACCACAGGCTGAAAAGATTTAAGAAGTACATTTGCAGAAGTATTAAGCCTAGCCATAGGCATACCTCCACATTGGCTTCAAAGGAAACCATATAATTTTCCACAACAAAGCTAATGAGACTGTAGATAATGTTGAGATTTGTAAGATAGGCAAAGGTGCGCAAGCTAATCACGAAATTTCGTAGTTTAAATTTATGTTCCTCCAATTCTTAGGCGCACTCACAATCTACAGGGTCGGGAGGTGCGTTTCCTGGGCGCCACATTAATGCCCAATGCATAGCTGCAGTACTCCACCCAAGTTAAGCCCTTCTTTGGCAATTCATCAATATTTTCTAGTTCCTGATCCAAAGCGTTCTGCATTCTGTACCTAAATATTTTGACTGTGAACGGGATTGTGTTCATAACTGCCTTTTATAGTAGTGATTTTTCAGTAGGAGGTTGTACCTCAATTAGTTTTAAATTATATGTTTGGTTGGCTATATTACTAGGCAAATTGCTTTATTGTACGCAATATTGTACAGTTTTGCTTAAGAATGCAATAATAAGAAAGCCTTAACAAGGATTTCATTAAAAATTAAGGGATTATTAGGAAAAATAATAGATTTCGGCTAGACAACCCATATTCAATTATTCTCTTCACTAATCGACTGGGCTAAACTAAAATTAAAAAATGATAAGCCCGAAAACTATATTAAGCACAGTTTAATATGCGTTCGGCATTTATTTTCTTGCTAAGCTTGCAAATTCAAATTTTAACAGCAGTCCGCGGCATCTTCTTGGATAAGTTGGCAGCTCTAACAGCTGTTCGAGCATGCAAAACGCAACAGATGGACAGCACAATTTTAATGTAAATCGCATATTATTTGTTTACCTGCGTTGAAATCACTTGCAGTTGAGTTAAAACTAAGAACCAGTGGCTGAAGGCTACGCCTTAATGACCAAAATGAGCCCAGCTAAACAGGAACTGCTAAAGCCGGTGAAGACAACGAATCCCATTGTCTACTTCGACATTAGCATTGGCGAGGAAAGCGGTAAGTGAAGCGAGCGGCTCACAATCTGTGCTTGACCTAGTTAAACGATATCGTATGTACATATTCATATCTCGATTCTGTGCGCAGCGGGACGCATGATAATTGAACTGCGCAAGGATGTTGTGCCAAAGACAGCGGAAAATTTTCGTGCCCTGTGCACAGGTGAACGTGGCATAGGACAGCTGGGCGAGCGGCTACACTACAAGGGCACACGTTTTCATACGATCAAGCGAGTGTTTGCGGTTCAAGGTGGCGATCTAGTGAACAATGATGGGACCAGCGGCGACAGTATCTATGGTCCTCTGTTTGAGGATGAGAACTTTGAGCTGACGGTGAGTGGAGCAAAGTGTACAAAAGTTTCGTTGCCTACTATTTTCCTCTTGATCGCAGCATAATGAAGAGGGCGTGGTCAGCATGGCCAACTATGGCACGCCAAATACAAACAACTCACAATTCTTTATCACAGCCGTTGGATGTGAAAACCTCAATGGGATCAATGTGGTCGTGGGCCGCGTGTTACGCGGTCTGGGCATCATTGCCGATATGGAACAGAACTGCAACGATGAAGCGCATCCAACAACAGATATAACAATAACAGACTGTGGGGAATTGGCTCCTGGCGAGGATTGGGGCATTGAGTGCAGTGATGAGACAACAGACAAGCTGCCGCCTTATCCCCAGGATTGGACGGGTAAATTCAAGAAGCCAACGGTAAGCTCTGAGTTATGCAATCGCGATTGATGTTAAACATTTGTTGTTGCTCCCCGTGACAGTGCGAAGCAGCTGTTAGCCTACTTACGGGCATGCGGCAGTCGGGTAATCACTTCTTTCAGCTGGGTCGCTACTATGAGGCACGAGCCAAATATCGTAAAGCGAATCGTTATTATACGATGCTTCGTCGCAATTTTGACTGGCAGGAGCTGAAACGCAGTCAAGGCGACTCGGAACTAAGAAGATTGGATGCGTTCTCCGTGGTAAATAACATCAACATGGCAGCTGTGGAGCTTAAATTGGGAAACTATCAGTATGCTAAATATGAGTGCTCCGAGGCCATACGCTTGGATCCAAACTGCAGCAAAGCGTTCTATAGACGAGGACAAGCGCAACGTGCCTTGCGTAACTACGAGGAAGCCATAAAAGATCTGAAACATGCACATACCTTGCTACCGGAAAATAAACAAATCCTGAATGAATTAAACAGCGCCAAGCAGCTCCTGGCCGATTACAATAAACAGCAACGAAATGCGCTCAAAAAACTGTTCAACTAGTTAAGAAGTTTTAAATATATGTGTGTTATAAAACATCACACCTGACTTTATGCTAAGATGACAAATTTGCTCTATTTAATGAAGGATGTCGCAGCTTAATGTTGACAGAATACTAATAATTTTTAATTAAATGTTTTTATTATTACAAAAAATATTGCAAATTGTTGTTCAATGTTTCCAACGGTTCTTCAACTTCTGGAACTTTATATAAATCAGAACTAATCGCGACCAGTGTTAAATATTTATGTATATATTATGTAATTATATCGTACTTAAAAAACATTTGTTCATACACAATAATGCTTGTTCAACTCTCAACTGAATGATAGTGCCCTATAATGCTGCTTAAATACTAACAACTAAATTTGATTACATATCAAAATGAGCTTAAATCTGCACTAATCTTAAACATATGTACGGTTCCTCTATACTTAAAGATTTGTCACGATATCCTGTTCGCTGCGATGCAAATTGCTCGAGCCAGTGCCCATAGAGTAGCTCTTCATATTGATTTCCATGTTGGTCAGAGCGCTGGAGACATGATACAAGTTCTCGGAGAGTATAGCATACACTTCGAACAACTCCGAGTCCGATTTGGATACAATGAACGCTTCTGTTGGTCAAACAAATGGTTACAAATAGTGTGCATAATAATTTGATTCGAAGACAAACCTGTGCGATCCTTCATAATGCTATGCGCATATGCATTCAGTATGATCGACATCTCATCGAACTTGATGCGACTATCCAAATTGCCATAGCTATAGATGGTCAGACTCTGGTCACCAGAACTCAGTGTGGACACGCGTCGATACTGTCGCACATGAGAAATGGCGCTCGACCAGCGCTGCAGATCAATGTGCTCGTGCAGCGACGTCTCAAACTCCTCCTGAGTCATAGGCAACCCTGGCGAGGGCGTGGGCGTATGTTCGCCTTCCGTTGAAGTGGATGATTCAAGGCAATCCAGCTCTGCTTCGCTTGTGCAACGCACCAAAGCATCTCGCACCAGGGCATAGAGATCGGATATGTCATGCATCTGTTGAAAAAGTAATAGTTAACGATAAATAAATAATTTCCAGACAATTTACTTACGTCTTCATTGATGCGAAAATGATTAACCACATTCGAGGATATTTTATGATTCGATTCAATCAGCAAAAGCAGCTGAAACATAAGCTTATATAAAGAACGTCCCAAGTCGAGAACAACTTCCGTGGAGGCGGGATCGAAGGGCATGCAGGCAATACTAGAGCTGCTGGGTAGCTCCAAGCCAGAGGCAGCCACATCGGCTTCATTGAATAGCGATAGCTTGCAGGATGTTTTCACTGCATCCAAACACTACAATAGAGAATACCAAATGAAAAGAGATGCAATATATAGAAGTAAGAGTACTCACCTCCAGTACCTGATCCTTGCGATCGAAGAATGTCTCCAGATGCTCCTGCACTTCCAGCACATTGAATCTCAAAGTTTCAAATAGTTTCGGCGTGGTGGCCTGCATCTCACTGCACCAAACACGAGGCGGATCGGCACGCGCACTCAATAAATCCGTAAACAGAGATATGCGATTTCCCAACTGTGAGCCGATGCCAGTAAAGAATTTCTTGGCCTCCTTGGAAATGCTAATTGTCTTGAACGTCAGCTCCTTGATCAGCCTGTATAGCTGCTGCAGCAGCTCAGAAGTGTGCGCCGAGGGTTGATTAACCAGCATCGATTGCAGCTGACGGCGCCAGTTCTCTTCCGTCTCGTCGCGCACGGCGGCACCAAAACGAATGATGCCCTGCATATGCGGCGAGGCATTGCACGGTGTTATGTCACCCAAGTCCCCAGCACTTGATCCGCTGGTGTCACTACGAGACACTGAATTACGACGTCGGCGCTCCCGCAAGCTGAGCGACGAAGGCGGTGCGCCGCCTAGGAAGGATTTCAGGAAGGATTGACGGTGATCGTCATCCAGCGGTGATTCCGATTCGGCTTCCTCATCGGATGAATCGTCTGCGGTCTGGCGCTTACGCTTGCTCAGGATTGGCGTCTTATCGCTGAAGCTGTCCTCCAACGCTGATGAATGGCCGCCCTTGATCGAGCCGCCCATGCCGCTGCCGAGGTTGAGAAGATCTTCGTCACCCTCAAAGAGCTGATGGCGACGCACACCCCAATTAAAGTTATCCGTGGATTCACCAGCAATGCTGTCCTCATACTCGAGGAAATCGAAATCCTTGAAAACGGTAAAATCGGGCTGGCCATCGTCACGGCGTGAACCGCTGCTTAGATCGCCCTGTGGACCCGATGTCTCCTCCGTGGAAGAGGCGGCCGATGATTGCCGTTCCATGAGATCCGAGGACTGGCTAAAGATGACCTGAATGTTGTGAAAAAGAATTTGGATTAGTATGCAGTTAAGGAAGAGAGTATGCGGAATAAACACTCAAGTATATATGTGAATCAAATATTAATTAAGAATATAAGTGAAAAGCTTACGCTTTGTCTGGTCGCAATCGATCCCGTTAGTAGCGATGTGCTCAAAGACTGAACGTATTTAAACAAAGAAAACGAAACGAACGGTTTGAAACAAAACATACACACATGCAGCAAGTTAAAAGTATGGAACGAAACACAAACGGAAATGAAACAGAACAGAGCTAGCGATGCCAACAGGAGCTGTTTCAAACTGGAAACAAGCCTACAGCACGTGTACGAAATGTGTGGAATGAAACGGATGAGCGATGCATATAAGTACAAGTGAAATGAAACGAGCCAAAACAAATTACGTAAACAAAGACAAAGCTACACGTGACATTTAGAAACATGTTCTTTTACCTTTGAGCAAATAGAGTTTATAAAATCGTCCTATAATTAGGTTTGGTTCGGGTTGTTAATGATGATATAATGGCGTGTTAGTTTTGGTTTGATATTGGATTTGGTTTATATCAAGATTGATTTTTAATTAAGTTTTTGTTTTTTTTGTTACATGAAAGAAAAAGAATTAGAAATAAATAATTTGGTAGAGATGATGGCCATATTAGAAAGCAGGAGCTGAAAAAGCTAGCGCTAGGGGAGCTCAAAGCATGCACCTGGCTAATGTACAAGCTGGAAACCCCCTTTTGAACCCCATGTGACCAGAAACTTACCGATGGTGATTTGGGTAAGCCGACACGCTGTCCACAGGTGGTCAGCAGATTGACCAGGCACTCGCGTACACGGCACTGCGACATCCAGGGACGCTTCCAGCCGCTGAGCGGCACGGTATCCGCCGGCGAAAGGCTGGCACTGCGCCTGGGTGAGTTTGGCGTGCCGACAACGCTGCCAAGGCCAATGCCGTGCTGCTGCTGCTGCTGCTGTGCAGCCACGGCGGAGGCGGCAATGGCAGCCACATTGCTGTGGGCGCGTTGTTGCTGCAGCTGTGCGCTGACCTGCTGCGCAGGCGCAACTGTCACGGTGGTGGCATTGGTCAATGTGGAGTTTAGCGACGAGCTGCCCGTGGCGGATGCAGCAGAGCCTGATACGGGCTCCTCGCTTTTGAGCAAGATGCGACGTCCGATCAACGGAGTTTGCGATACATCGAAGGTGAACTCCATGGTGCGGCCGGCCAGTTCCTTTTTACAGAACATATCCGAGTCCGGATATGCGCCATAGAAGGAGAACGATAAGCCGGCGCTGCTGCCATCGCTGGGCGGCACCACCTGCAGTGAAGAGCTGCGTGTGACGATCAGTTTAAGGATCTTCAAGGAATCCTTCCAGTTTACAGTCTGCAAAGCATAACTTGATTTAGAGAAAATCCCAAATTATCACTGATAAACTCACATCCAAATATTTGCCTATGGCGCGCAATAAATCCGCATTGATAGTCTGTGCCTGTGGCGCCGATAGATCCACATAGTGCAACATGCAGTGAATAACATTGAGGACCGGCACCTGCACCTGTTGCGGCCCTTTCTCCAGTACCTCGATGAGGAAGGCCAGCATATGGAGGCCCATGTGAGCGTATGTGTCATGCAAATACTTGACCACACACTTGGTCCATTGGAATGATTCCTTGCAGAACGTTTTGCGACTGTACAAGGTCATCACAGTGCCCAGATTCTCCAGCTTCGCACCCAACTCTGTGGACACATGTGCGATATTCTCTGCACTGCGTATGCAAATCTCATTGGCATCCTCATAGTGGAGCAGCATATAGGGCAGCAGAGCAATCACGTTCATGGGAAAAGCACAGCTCTGCGTGGGGTCACAAACTGGCAGACTAAGCAGCGGTGCAAACTGGGCCAGCAACGTGATGGTAGGCTCATAGGTGGCACTGTGGGTGCAGCCCTGAAATGAAAATAGACGAAGTTTATTAGTTACTTTCATGGTGGTAAATTCCGAGTACTTACCTTCAATAGTAACGCATGCACGCCTGGGTAAGCAGTCCATTTGAGCTGCTGCTGCAGCTTTTCCACTTTGTCCCGCGCATCGGGTCGATCCAGCGGCAGTCGATGCAGTACGCGGGTTAGCAGACGCAGTGCCAGCATAAACTCGTGCTCATAGTCCGACTCGAGCAGTGAAACCGACAGCCAGAATAGCTGCGCCAAAATGGTCATTTTATCATCCTGCGTAGCCGTATCTCCCAGCATCTTCAGGCTCTGTGCGCTTCGTGAGCGCGATAAGGCGGAGCCAGCGCCAACGCCAACGCCACCCACGCCAAACTTACAGACAACACTGCGCTCCAGCTCAATGCCTGAGGCACGATTCCTCAACTCCACCTGCTTGTCGCAGGGCGAATTGTTGGCCTTGCGGCCGCAATAGGATACGGAGTAGCTGGTGCTGCGTCCATGACTGGGTATTGAGTAGTTGGAGGATTGCGGTGTCATGCCCGATGGCGATTTCTTGCCGGGAAGTATAGAATTGGGACCACCATCCTTGTTGTTTAAATTGGGCGTGCTTTTGAAAATGTCCTTCATTACGTCCAGCGGTCGGAAGTCGGAGTCCAAACTGTCAACGGCAGCCTCCAACGTAAGCAGCAACTCTGTCACATAGCCCTGCATATCCTCGCCCTGCTCAGCTACCGTCTCCACTAGCCGCGATAGTATGTCAGAGAGCATGCGCGAATTGATGGGCACATTGAGAGCGCGAAAGATTTGAAGGCAACGCCCAGCATAATGACGCGAGGAACAGGATAAGCCCAACTGTAAAGCCGTTTGCGCCCATCGCTCGGCAATGCGCGCCTGTGGATAGCTATCGGCAAACACCTTGACCATGTGCTTCAGGAAGCAGCTCAGCTGCTCCGCCGACTTCACCGCCCACACTTTAGCTGTGATATCCTCGTAGTTCCACAGCGGCTGGCATGTGTCGTGGGCAAGGAACTTGAGCAAACTTTTGATCACATGCGCAATGGGCATGCTGGGACCCGGCTGAGGAGGTGCATGCTCATCCGTATGGATTAACGGCACTTCCGAATTTTCCGTATTATTCGGATTGATCTGCAACGCAGCGGGCGTGGTAGTCAGAGTTGCAGATGTGGCACTCGACCCTGCCCCCTGCACTGGAGGCAGCTGCTGCAGATTTTGCGGCGCCTGCGGCAGCGTCTGCTGGTTGGTCGAGTGCGACGCTATGATCGTGGAGCTCGAGAGATTATGCTGCAGCGCATAGGCAGCCGCTTGGGGGCTTACATGCAGCAAATAGCTATCGAACTGCTGATGCAGCTCCGTAAAGTTATTGTCAATCACGGGCAAAGCTGGCACCGTAAGGCCCAAGTCCAGTTTGCTTGTTTCGCTGTTGAGTAGAATGCGCGCTACGGTGAGATGATCGTTGTGCTCAGCCAGGACAATCAACAAGTTGACACAGAGCTGCTTGCAGTGCTCCCGCACAATGATGCGCGTGTGATCGAGGCCCAGGAACAGGATGTGCAGCATCAGTGGCAAATGAAGCGTCCAATCAATGCCAGGAATGCCATCCACCACAATGTCTGTGAGCAGCATGACTGCCACATTGCAGCTGTAAGAGAAGAGAGTATGACTTACAGATATACCATTTTTTTTGGCCAATGAGCAAACGTATATAGAAATGCAGGACACTTCAGCTTTAAACTAAGAAAACCTTGCCTTGAGCTCTCTTCGATTAGAGTATCTGTGGCGCTTACTACTTGAAACTATTTGCCTAATGTCCGAATACATTAATTATTAGTTTTGTTTACTCCACAAATGACTATTGTTGATTAGTTTATCGTGCAACAATACGTAAAAAGTGGGTAAGCTAACTATATATACTCCATATCATTTGAAACTAATTTCATTCAGAATGAAGGTGTTGATAATACTTTTGCTGTTTAGCCTTGCTCTAGCAAGCAGTTCGACTCTTAGGCCCGCCGTTGAGAAGGTGTATCCCGATATACGGCTTGACGTGGAGCCGGATATTCAGCTGGAGCCTGAGAACATCATCACTAATGGCTATATAGCTCCAGAGGGCAAGGCTCCATATATTGTGGGTCTGGCCTTTAGAAAAGGAAACTCCGGCGCTTGGTGCGGCGGTTCTATAATTGGAAATACTTGGATCATAACCGCTTCACACTGTTCAAAGGGTTTCAGCTCGGTGACCATTTACTACGGCTCGAATCGTCGTGCCCAGGGAACGATCGTACACACTGTTAACGCGGACAACATCATTAACCATCCCAAATATGATATCGCATTGATACGCACTCCACAAGTTACTTTCACCGATCGCATCAACCTTGTCAAACTACCCAATGCAAATAATGCGAATGAACTCTATGTCAATCAACAGACAACGGCCTGCGGCTGGGGCAGAACAGTCTCAAATAACACACCCGACCAACTGCAGTGCGTCGATGCGACAGTTATATCGAATAATCAATGTGCCAGAATCTATGCTCCGGGCACAGTTCACAGTCAAATCATCTGCATAAGTACTCCAGGCGGCAAATCCATCTGTTCTGGCGACTCTGGCGGACCACTTGTAACTCAAAGCAGTACAATTCTGATTGGCATCAGTCAATTTGTTTCTTCCAAGGGCTGCACAGCTGGACATCCGGCTGGCTTCACTCGTGTTACTAGCTATCTACCATGGATACGTCAGCACACTGGCATCTCATACTAAATCCTGAAATTGCCTACCTTATACTATTGCTTAACAATCTATAAATGCACAAATACAATTTATCACTGCACTCACTACTACACTTTAAAAATTAAAATAAATTTTATATGGAACATTCTTCAAACAAGGTTATAGAGTACACAATATAGAAAATTAAGCTTTTTAAAACTGGCATTAATTATTACTATTAAAAAATTCCTGAAGGACGTATACCAAGAGGTATACATGACCAGGAACTTATTACAAAGACTATAATTTTAGAAACAAAATTTAAAAAACAAACGAAGTATTTTATCAAATTTGGAATTACTCCAAAGTGATTCATTGAAACTAGTAATTAGAACAACTAAAAAATTGTGTAATTGACACACCTGAACCTTTCAAACCCCTTCATTTTTACATATCTAATGCCTGAGTTTACTAACTCGCTAAATCATTAGCAATAAGTTTATCCTCTTATTCAAGTTTACAAGAACTGATAAAAATGCAATCAAGCCATGGCTTAGCTACTATATAAGCTGGCTGCAGCAGCAACTCACATCAACTTCAAGCCTTAAGCATGAAAGTCTTGTTAGTTATTTTGCCTTTGGCTTTTGCATTGGCTAGCGCCAATGGAAACACGACCACATCCTCTTCGGATGAATATTTACCCGAGAACATTATTACTAATGGATATGCAGCCGGCGATGGCAAAATACCCTACATTGTCAGTCTGATATTAGGAACAGATGACAGCAGCAGTGTCGCAGTATGCGGAGGCACTATCATTGCCAACAATTGGGTTCTGACTGCCGCCCATTGCTTAACCACAGACTATGTGGACATTCACTATGGCTCCGATCAGCGAGGCAGCGGACAATTTAAGCACAGAGTGAGAAGCAACAACTTCATTCGTCACAATCTCTGGCTGAATTCCAATGGCAATGACATTGGCCTGATACGCACACCCCGCGTGAGATTCACTTCCAAAGTCAACAGGGTCAAGCTACCAAAATCTAAACAGCAGGTCGGAGATAGCTTAGAAAACCAGTGGGCTGTTACCTGTGGTTGGGGTGTACAGGCCAATGGACAGATGGCTAACAGGCTGCAATGCGTCGATCTAGAGATCATGACTAACGAAGAGTGCTCAAAGAGTTATAGCGTTCTCCCTAATGGCATACTATGTGGAAGGTCCACTGACGGAAAATCTACCTGTGCCGGTGACTCTGGCGGTCCGTTGGTAACCCGCAATGATCGCACCTTGGTTGGAGTAGTATCATTTTTTTCAGGAGCTGGCTGCATGGCGGGTGACCCAGTTGGTTTCACACGAGTGACTGCCCACTTGGACTGGATACGACAAAACTCTGGAGTTGTTTACTACTAAACAAAACAATATTTTCATTAGAAAATGTGAAAAGCTAATAAAGGGGCAGTCTACATAAATGTTTTTTATAGATATGTCTTAAGCCTTTATCAACTTATCATTATGTTATCATTAGATAATTCCAAATGAATGGCGTAATAGTTCGACTATATAAGATCGTGACCGCAAACGATTCAACCACATTCTACTCCAGTATGAAAGTTGACTTGCTACTACTCCTTTCATTGGCTTTTGCCGCTACTGCTGCAAAACAGAATGAGAATTTCAATCTTCGTATTACCAATGGCTATCCAGCCTACGAGGGCAAAGCTCCCTACATAGTCAGTCTCCTGATAAGAACTGATAATAGTAATATCATTGCAATAGGAGGTGGCACCATCATCGGCAATACTTGGGTGCTGACTGCCGCCCATTGTTTAACCACGGACTATGTGGACATTCATTACGGCTCTGTTTGGCGAGGCAATGGCCTATATTATCACCGAGTTCGAAAGGACAACTTTATTCGTCACCAGCTCTGGCCCGATACCAACGGCAATGACATCGGTCTAATACGCACTCCGCACGTTGACTTTACATCAAGGGTCAATAAGGTTAATCTGCCCAGTTTCAGTCAACGGAATGAACTCTTTGAGAACTGGTGGGCAGTAACTTGTGGCTGGGGAGGACAGGCTAATGGTAAGCTGGCTGACTGGCTACAGTGTGTGGATCTACAAATCATGGGCAACAACGAGTGCGAAAGAAGCTACGGCAGTCTGCCAAATGGCGTATTGTGTGTGAGAACACCTGATGGAAAATCCACCTGCGGGGGTGACTCTGGTGGCCCATTGGTAACTCACAATAATCCCGTTTTAGTAGGCGTTACATCTTTTGGTTCCACAGAAGGTTGCATGCTCGGAAAACCAGCTGGGTTTACCCGTGTGACCGCCCACTTGGACTGGATACGTGATCACTCTGGAATCGCTTATTAATAAACTATGCAGTTTTGCAAATGGACAAGCTAAATATGTAATAAAAACCTATATAATACAAAGTTGCCTTTCTTATACTCAACTATTTACATTCATTAAAAGGGAAGAGCTCCCATTTTAGCATTGATTTTTTAAAGTCCTAAAATTACACTGACAGTCCCAAAAGTCAAATACTTATTTGAACAGCTAATATCTAAGGCCATTAGAAAGCTATCATTAACTGGCTTACTTCTATTATCATTCATTACCACCAGATAGTTCTTAACGAATACAGTAATTAGCTTCTGAAATTGGCTATAAAAGGTTGCACAGCAAACGTTCTATTCTATTCTAGCTAAGCATGAACACTTTTCTGGTACTTTTTTCTTTGGGCTTTGTCTTTGCTTCTGCAAAAGATAATCAGACGTCGTTGGCGGCTTCTCCAGATGAGCTTGATCCTGAGAACATCATTACCAATGGCTATCCAGCCTACGAGGGCAAAGCTCCCTACATCGTCAGTCTCCTGATAAGAACGGATAACAGCAATAGCATAGCAATAGGCGGCGGCACCGTCATCGGCCACAATTGGGTGCTGACTGCCGCCCATTGTTTAACCACGGACTATGTTGACATTCATTATGGCTCCACTTGGCGAGGCAATGGCCAATATTATCACCGAGTGCGAAACAACAACTTTATTCGTCACCATCTCTGGCCCAATACCAATGGTAACGACATTGGTCTGATTCGCACTCCCCACGTTGATTTTACAACAAGGGTCAACAAGGTTAATCTGCCAAGATTCAATCAACAAAATGAACTCTTTGAAAACTGGTGGGTCGTTGCTTGTGGTTGGGGAGGACAAGCCAATGGTAAGCTGGCTGACTGGCTACAGTGTGTGGACCTACAAATCATGGGCAACAACGAGTGCGAAAGAAGCTACGGCAGTCTGCCAAATGGCATATTGTGTGTGAGAACCCCTGGTGGAAAGTCCACCTGCGGTGGTGACTCCGGCGGTCCATTAGTAACACACGATAATCCCATTCTAGTGGGTGTAACATCATTTGGTTCTGCAGAAGGCTGCACGGTCGGAAAACCAGCTGGTTTTACACGTGTGACCGCTCACTTGGACTGGATACGTCAACAATCTGGAATCGCTTACTACTAAGCAATACAATTTGTTAAACAACAAAGTAAACACCAAAAAAAAAAAACCATTGCATAATAAAATTTGCTCTTCTAAGCATAAAGAAAATCCTTTTTTATATATCCTACACTTTTGTTTAGTTTTTGAAGTAGAAGTATTTTTGTAAATAGAATAACTTTATCAAAAATTAAAATGATGCCAAAAAAAAACTTCATTCGAGTTTTTAATAAATCTGCTTTAAGTTCGCCCAAATTAATTAGCATAAATGGCAAGAGGTCACATTAATATGGATTCAAGTAGACTTAAGCGTATGAAATCGAAGCCTCAAGCTAAATCAATATGGATATTTATATATATATAAATCAATAAGAATTATAAACTTTCTAGAATGTAAATTCAAACATGTAATCAAACGCAATAATATAATTCTGTAGAGCCAGCCATAGACGTCAAATAACCATTTGAAAAGCTAATGTCTTAAGCCATTAGTTATCCATAATTATCTTCAATTAATATTCCTGATTGCTCTTATCAATATTGACACCAAAACCAAATTAACGAGTGGTGTAATTAGTCCTTAGCGCTCACTATATAAGATCGCAACTGCCAACGACCTCACTTTCAAATGAAACATGAAAGTTATCTGGCTTCTTCTTTTGCTGGCCTTTGCCTTAGCCACTACAAGTGCCAATCAGACAGCGACGAGGACTTCCCCAGACGAGTATGATCCCGACAACATCATTACCAATGGCTATGCTGCCTACGAAGGTAAAGCTCCCTACATTGTCAGCCTTCTAATGGGAACTCATTCAAGCGATCACATTGAAATTGGGAGTGGCACAATCATCTCCAACAACTATGTGCTGACTGCCGCCCATTGTCTAACCACGGACTATGTGGACGTTCATTTTGGATCCGTTTCGCGAGGCAATGGTCAATATAATCAAAGAGTTTATAACCATTATTTCACTCGACACCATCTCTGGCCGGCCATGGGCTATGATATCGGTCTGATTAACATTGACTATGTGGAATTCACCCCGACCGTGAGCAAGGTTAATCTGCCAACACTCAGTCAAAATAACGAACGCTTTGAGAACTGGTGGGCAGTTGCTTGTGGTTGGGGAAAACTGGCCAATGGCCAACACGCTGATAGGCTGCAGTGTGTCGACCTACGGATCATGACTAATAACGACTGCTACGATAGCTATGGCTATCTACCACCAAGCATACTGTGTGCAAGAACAACCGGTGGAAAATCCACCTGTGATGGTGATTCCGGTGGCCCACTCGTAGTACACAAAGATACTATTTTGGTGGGTATAACATCGTTTGGTTCGGCTGATGACTGCACCATCGGAAAACCAGCTGGCTTCACCCGTATAACCTCCCATTTGGATTGGATATATGAACACACGGGAGTTGTTTATAGGGAATAAATACCAATATATGAAAATAATAAAGAAGCATTCTTAAAAGCAGTGCGATTCATCTATTGATATTCTAGAGATCTTAGCATGAAACTGTTGGTAGTACTCCTGTATCTATCTTTACACTAAAGAAAAACTGAACCACCTGGCCAGAAGGTAAGCTGCTTGTCACTTACCGATGAAATCCACTGATAGGTAAGCTGACATCTGGTAGAAACTCGGTAAGCGGTGCAAAGTAACCACCATATTCGGGCATGGGCAACGGATGAGGATGCGCATTTGGTGGCGCCTCTGCTGTATTACGCAGCTCCACATTCTCCTCCTGTCGTAGCTCTGGATCATTGATTAAGATATCCTCGGGTCGTGGCAGTATGGAGGGACCCGACGCAGCTCGTATTTTATCGGCACCCCGAGGCGGACGACTGCCGCCGGTAATAGGTGTGACAGCAGCGGCAGCAGCTGCTGCGGCTGCCTGTGTATACGCGCGAATGCCGCTATCCGACTTGCAGGTGCTAAAAATTCAAAAACCAATTGATTCGGAATGCCTTATATTATGAAGGTAACTATAACAAACCCTATTTTAATGGGATCTTCGCCGCTGTGTCGCTTTGTGTGTATGGTGCCCTTCTCCACAGTCAGATCCTGGGTCCTCGAATCGTTAATGCCGCCAACAGGTTGTCCTGGCAAACAAAGAGTAAAGACTTAAACCTGTTGCTTAAATCAGACGTCAACTGTGGCTTACCATCAGCACTATGACTGGATGCCTTTCGCATGCTGGTCAGCCTGTAGAAAGGCGGTGTTTCAGTGCGCTCGATAAGGCAATTGAGTGTTTCCACAGTCTGCAGCTCGGCCATCAGCTCATCAAGCAAGCGATCCGGGCAGCTGCGTGCCAAATAGAGAGCCACGCGCTTAGCCTGCAAATACATCAGTTAGTTTCCTAAAGCACGGCTAATGTGTATGTCACTTACATAGGGCAACAGCTCGGTGGGTGCCATGCCGCTCATAATGACCAAATAGCGCAGTATGACCTTTAGATTGTTGGGCCAGAACTGGCACAATGTGCCCCACAGCTCCTCTATATCGCGCGGATGTGCATCCGAAAACTATTAAGAGGCAAGACAAAAGATAAAGGGAGAGAGATTTATGCAGTTCACTGAAATAAATGTTGTGTAAACTCACCTTAGCGGTTATATAAAATAGATTATTCAGAATCATTTCGGTGGCCTCCGTTGAGCCGGTGCCCTCCCGACGTCCACGTGTGCCCGAATCAGGGAAATACTGCAAATAAAGCACAACGATAAGGCACACGCATGACAACTATAAAGCAGTGCCTACCATTATATAGGAAAGGGGCGTGGCAGGCGGCACACTCGTTGCAACCAGTTCCATGTTCTGCAGCCAGGGCAGCAGACACTGCAGCAGCAAGGCGCGCACATCCTCGCGTGCGCTCTGGAAACGATGTGTTATCTCTGTGAATGTAAAGAAAATAAATACTTTTTCTGTGTCTAACAAGTCGCAAGTCGTAACTCACCCGAAAAGATGGACATTGTTAGCTCGGGTCGCAAGTGCGCCAGCTGCTTGGAAAGGAAACGCTGCGAACGACAATAAACATTACTCAGCAGTTCATCCAGCGTGCCAACTTTGTCATCTTCTGAAAAGGAACCAAAAGAAAAAAGCGAAAGTTAAGCGAAAGTGAAAACACATCATGTAAAACAAATTCGTAGAGATAAAACACAACCGCAAGTATTATTTCCGGCCATTTTGTGGCTCTGGCGTAGCTGAGTGCTCGGCAACAACTGAATGCATCCGGTGTGGACTTTCCGCAGCCAACTGCGATGCCTCATATTTCCAGTTGGTAAAAAGCTTAAGGCCGGCATTGGAAAGCCTCGAACTCTGCTTATGTTTACTACAAACTGTCGCAGCGCACAGAAGACAACAAGTAAAGCCACAAACACAATTACGCGTGTTGACAACAATAGTAGCACCGTTCGCCACTCTGCCTCTTAGTCTAGCTTTTAGATTACTGCCCACTTGTTGGTCCAGCTCTAACTCGTGACCTTGTCACCTGTTGATTCAATGAATGAAATGGCGACATTTGGCAGTGCGCCGACTCAAAACTGGGGGCGAAAAGCTTTTCGGCACTTTTGGCGCCTTCCAATGACGGCGAAACGAACTGAATTGCTTATAAAGCCGCATCGGCCATTGTCTCGGCTTAGTTGCGCGCGTATTGTCCTGGAGGACGCATGTCCTGACAGCAAATTGTCTGAGCCAAGAAAAATAATAAAAAGCGCCGTCGGTAAAATTCAACGTGCCCCACTGAACAATTAGTAGACCAATAAATAGCCGAAGTTTTTTACTATTACGAGCCTGAAGAGCAAAAAAAAATTTCAAGCCAAAACGAAAGTTTGACAAACTTTTATTAAAAAAATCAAAAACTTTTCCTGAGCACTTGTCCGATTTCAGAGCGTGTGAACAAGTTCAGTGAAGAAAATCAAATTAAAAAAAAAAATAAAAGTAAAAATCAAACGAAAAAATTCAAGAAACCATTGAAAAATAAAACTTTCATGTAATAATCTATAATTGCGCGTGGCACGGGCACAATATGTACTTCTTCTAAACTTGAAATGAACAACATTTATTTCATATTTGAAGCATGCGAAAATCATAGGCTCAAACTATAATTGAACGAAAAAAATGACTAGAAACTTTCAAACAACTTGAAGACGAGCAAACATTCTTTTCTAAAAAATATTCAAACCTGTAAACTTCTGCAGCATAAATATTTTTCCATTTAACTACTGGCATAAATTTTGCTGCTTTGTTATGAAATGTGCAGTGATTTAAACTTTATATTGAAGTATATATACTATATACAACATATTAAAATATATAATACAAAAGAATAGCAATTGGAAAGCTTGAGGACTTAAAGTATATATTTTATAGCTAAAAGTAGTTTTTAAAATTAGTTTTGCAATCAAAAATCAAAAAGTTGTACTATATCTGCAAAACTATATCAAAATTAAATTCTAAAACAAATTTTGTGCTCTATACTCTAGTTAATACATTAACTAAATTTTGCAATTGAAAAAATCGTTCTATATTTATTGTAGATATATAATATATATATATATATATATATATATGTATATATATAAATATTTATTGTAGATATATAAATATAGAAAGATTTTTTCAAATTAAACTTCTAATGTGAAAACTGTCCCAGGGTATTTAATCTTCGGTCAAAGGCATATTGTTTAATATTTTATTTTGCTCAAGTTTGTTGCAGCGTTGCAGAAAAGTTCGCAACTAGAAATTACAAAAATGCTGCGGGCGCAGTAGTTCATTATGTGCAGCTCGTTTCAACTTTAACTTATTTCAAGCACAACTGAAAGGTGAATCTTATTGGATTTGCATCTGCTTTTTGTTTCTCTGTGCTGTAGTTGGACAAACTCAAGGGAAATTAAATGCTAACAAAAAACTGAGAGTAGCTTTATCTGTTGAATAAAAGAGAAAGCGTTGAAAGGGCCTTGCAACAGGAAAACTGTGTGACTAATGCGGCATTGACTTTACAGCGAACGCAGCTCCAGCGAAACTATGGCCAACCCCTACGAGACAGCTGTGTCGAACACAAGCCAGGACATATCAACAACGGCTACGACAAATGAAACATTACTTAGCTATGCGACAGATGGCAACAGAAGTGCCAGCAATGACATGGACTTTATGTCCGTTGAAGATGAGGAAATGCTACGAATTGCCTACCTCATTGGCGATATTGTTAATAGATATTATGTGCCCATCATATGTTGTACGGGCAGCATTGGCAACATACTCTCTGTCTTTGTCTTCTTTATGACGAAACTGCGCAAGCTATCATCGAGCTTCTATTTGGCTGCTTTGGCCATCAGCGATACATGCTTCCTGTGCGGCCTATTTATGCAATGGCTTAACTTTCTTAACGTGAACATCTATAATCAGAATTATTTCTGCCAGTTTTTCACATTCTTCAGCTATTTGGCCAGCTTCTGCTCGGTGTGGTTTGTTGTTGCCTTCACCGTGGAACGTTTCATAGCTGTCATGTATCCGTTGAAGCGTCAAATTATGTGCACCGTACGCCGTGCCAAAATCGTCCTGTTTGGCCTCACACTAGCTGGATGTGTGCACTGTGTGCCGTATATACTGATTGCCAAGCCCGTCTACAGTCCCAAATTGAATGATACCATATGCGATCTGAATACCTCGTATGACGTGAGTAAAACTTTCCTTCTAATACTATTTCAATTTACCACACGCTGCCTATGATTGTTAGTTGAGTGAAGTGTACACATCCGATCCACTCATTCACACATTCAGACATCCGCACATTCATATCCATATCAAACATGAAAAGCCTTTCTATTACATATTTGTAATTCCAAAACTGGTTTCTGAACGCTTTAAGCGAGTTGCCAGTGGGAACTGGCAGCGACTAGTGCCAAGAATGTTGCAAGTGAACGACCAACAAAAGGTTGCCACAAAAGCAGAGACTATGGCACATCCCATTGTAAATTCTCTGAATTCACCATATGCTCGCAGCACATATTCAAAATTCCTTATTTTGTTTGTTCTTTGTTATGCAGCTTCAGTCTATAGAATTTATACGATTTCGCACATAGCTCATAAATCAAAGTGAACCAAAAAAATAAAGAAACACTTCATGCATGGTTTGTGAAGTCAACTTAATTAATATTATTATCAATGATTTATTGAAATTTACAAACGCGACTTCTAAGACTTCAGGTGACTCAGGTCAAAGATTGCCTCGCTTTTAGTACTTGCAGTAGCTGAAATATATTATATATCTAATATTATACAGTTCACACTCGGAGAACCATCCTTTGTTCGACATTGTGCGGTCAACAGGATATAGGAATCAATTTGAGCAGCAGCTTCAGCAAATAAACGAATGGCCAGGCACTTGTCAGATATTTCACTCTCCTTTCCATTGGTTTGCTGTCGAAAACATTTTCTTTTTTTACTGCTGCGGATAAGGCCCTTATCTCGCAATATGTTAAATTGAAGCGTGAACTTCAACAAAAATATCTTTGACCGCAGACACTGAGTGTGTGGCCCTTAAATTAATAGATGTTCAGTTGTAAGTAAGCAACCAACTAAAGCTTAAATCTTAAAGTTTGCAATTTGGCTTCTCTGGTTGACAGGAAGACAATTGCGTTAAGTTCCTGTGTCCACAAAAAGAGAGGAAAAAACCAAATAAGAGGAATAACATTTCGTAAACGTTACCAATTAATCAAACGCACAGTTTATTAAACCAACTGCTGAGTGAGTTAGGCACAAATTGACAATTTATTAAGCGAGGCAGCAAATTAGACGCACAAATGTGGCACACGACGCAGCAGCATGTCCCAGAATGCCAAAGGACTAAACCAAACTCAAAATAAGCTGGCTACGAATACGAAATACCTTGCATAAGCCTAACTAAATGTTAAATCTTTCACATTAATAAGCATACCAGAATGCTAACATAGCTCTCAGATTATTATTAGATTGTTCCATTACTATCATATCTTACGCTATTCTTTGCGGCCATCCTTAACATAGACACTTACATGATCCTTTTACCGACGCTCTACAGGGTATACAAACGCGTTGTACAAAAAACCGCAACTAAAATTAAGGCAAACAATTTCTTTTTTAACCACAACGCAAAAGACGAAAGTCAAACAATTACTACACAGGCAGAGCCCTCGGACTAGTTCTAGGTGTGTCCAATTGATGAACACGCGCACAAAAAACTTCACTTCCACACTCACAGACGCACACACACACGCACACTCAAAAGAGGTAGAACTACTGAATGGTACCGACCCAATAAAGACTTCCCTAGGCGATTCGTTAAATCTCAAATTTCTGTTTGCAATATATTTTATATGCATATTGGACAGAGCTGCCGATGGGGGTGTCAACGTTGTAATTCGATGCTAATTTCCAGACAGTGCAAGCCAAACAAACCAAACAAAATGTCTACCTTCAAAAACAGGAGAAGACAAGAACGAAGAAGGAACAGCGATCGCAGCTATTAGCCAAATTGGTAGCGGCAACAACTGAGGCGTAAAGTTGACAACAAAGCCGCGCCCATCAAAATGATAAAGTGGCCCAAAATTCTTGTATATATATATATATATACAGCTGAGACATTCAAATCCAATCAGTAACGAGAAAATAAAAGCACAAACATTGATACTTGCTGTGGCTGGCGAACGTGTCGTATGAGTGATGCGGCCATATTCTCGTTCTTTTGCGATAAAAAAAAGTTTCACTTGACTACGGTTTTGAAAACTTGGTAGATCAATATCTGAACGTGCGCTTGCTATAAGCACTGACAATAATACAGAGAAGTGAGCATAGATTTGTGGTTGGGCGTACACAAACTCGAAAATTATGCAAAATGGCAAGGTTTTTCACTTCTCGTTTGACATGGTCTGTGCACGCATTAAAAACAGCAGCTGCTGATGCTTAAGTCACTTACTTATTAAATCTGTCCAAATTACACAGTAATGTCCGCCATGTGCCGGCCAGAAGACTGGCACGGGCCAGACTTACACGTAAATGAATTAAATTAGAAGTAATTGTTAGTAAGTACATTAGAATGTATAAATAGTCCGCATTAGCAGATGGCCAGCGAAATGTGTTGAAGGCAGAAACATAACGAGCCGTAATTAGGAATATTTGAATATTGCGTAGGCCGTTAAAACATTAAACAGAGTCCAAAAATATTAAGGGAGACATCTCTCATTGGGCCGGACAACTTAATGGAATAGTAGGGTATCTAGAATTCGGCATCTTTAGATAGTTTGCTTAAATACTCTTCAGCATATATGTAACTAAATTGACATCCAAATCAATTAAATTTGCTGTTAATTTATTGATTAGGCACGCCTTAGGCAACTCTTGGACACGCATTTGTACAGCCTGAAAGCAAACCAATGTTTCCTTAATCATAATCATAACATATTTATATATATGATATATATATGTATATATTAAACCAGCCAAACTACTGCGAGGTCAGAGCTAAGAGTGATATGGCTTAGTTTATGACTAACCAAGATTAAAATTGCTTCCTGTCATTGTGGCAGCACAATCATTGGCAACATCCAGCTGCAGCTGGTCAACTACAATATATTTAATAGAATAAATATGTATGCCATATGTATACAAAAAAAAATGAAATTGAAAGTTAACTCTGACAGAGAACTACCACAAAACCCCACAGCCACAGACAACTCGCTCAATGTAGCTAACTGCCGTTGCTCATTCCAAGTCAGTTCTCAGTCTCCAATCGAAATTGGCAAATTGGCACAAAACCTTGTAAAAGGATATTGCTAAGGCCTTTACATCACATGCCGCAACAACAACAATAATAATAAATTGAAAATTGAAGACGTCTTATGCTTTTGATCCATTCGACACGAGAAAATATTGCTAAATTTTCTGAAAATTAAAAAATTGATTGCATTGCGTAGCGTACTCTATCCACTTCTCTAAATAGCAGAATATCCTAAGGTCAAACCTAATTACAAAAGCCGGCACAATAGCTTTTAATAATATTATTTTACATTCGCTCATTACAGCCCTTTGGCAAGCAGATTCAATTACCTAAGTCATTCCGCACTTAATTTGCTTGCAACTTATTCATTAATTACATCTGAATATTTGTGAAAGTGTTTATTAAATAACAAGTGGCTTCCTTTTGGCTGGCAAGCGATTTATTTGGTTAATTAATATATAACAGCTGTATATATACCCAATTTCAATTAATTGAATTTGTTAAATTTATTTTCATTGAAATGCATTGTTTCCAGCTTAAACACGAACAGCAATCAAAATGAAAAGCAGAAAATAAAAACTTCTGGTAGAAGAGTTCTTCAGCTGTTTGAAGAGGCATTAAAAATAAATTGCCGGTTAAGAAACAATAAGAAGTTGATTAACAGCTCAGATTTATATGCTATAAATAGATGGAACGTTTCAAGAATTACTTAAAATTTTGTCCTTGTATTTAAATGAAATGAAAATCAATTACACAACTCACTACAAAGATATAAATCCTTTTGCGAGTTCTCTGCCCAGCTTAAACGTTGTTAGCTATTCTCTCGAAAATGCACAGAGAATAAGCGCATTTTTAGCAATTATAAAAAAAAAAATAGAATAAAAACCGTTTTTAGTTTTTTATTTTGTTTGCTTCAGCTTTTAATTGTTTTAGAGCGAGTACAATTCGATTTTTCTGCACAGTTGCAGTACAATTTAATTACACATACGCCTCATCGGCCCGCTACACAAGCTCAATTGGATTAAAGGCCACGCACAATCACGCCCACACACACTAACACACGCAAATGTCACGCATATTTCGAAATAAATTTGGATTTTATTACAGGAGCAACTGGCTCTATTCAACTACTGGGACTCGATTGTTGTCTATGCGGTGCCCTTTACGACCATCACCGTGCTGAACACCTGCACGGGCTGCACCGTTTGGAAATTTGCCACTGTTCGACGCACACTCACAATGCACAAGATGTGAGTTGGCATTGTTGCATTTGATATTTATGTTCTGTGATTGCATTGTCACAAAAATGCAGTTCACAAACTTATTTATATATATAACATAAGTACAAAAGTTCAATTTTCATCTAATCAAGTATGTTTTTCTGTTGTCATGTGCTGTGCTTCTGCAGGAAACCTCAGATGACAAACATGCCAGGGAATGCAACTTCCACTTATCGCATTGCAGCATCGCTGAAGCGTCAAAAGTCAACGGGCACACACCCAAGCGGGCAGCATAGTGTATCAAGGCAAACCGAACAACAGCAACAGCAGCAACGACAGGATGGCAGAGCTCAGCACCATTGCGAGATAACACAGAAACCAGGTGAGTAACAGCAAGTTAAGTTGCATTTAGTTGACATGACTTCATATAAGCTGCATACATGTAGCCTCAGGCAGCCATGAGCACACGTCCACACACTCACAACTGCAGTCAACTTGTTGACAGCTTTATTAACTTTGCCACGCACGAATTTCCCACAGTTAGCAACGCTTGAGCAACAGCGTTAAAATGCCAACTACTTAAGAGTTGCATTTCGACTTACTGGGCAAAAAGTTTGTCTTAAATAAATTCAAAGTTATATCGTCATATCATCACAGGAACTTATATGACCTTTTGGATATTATATTGCAGGGCGACGCAAGGTGCAAAACTCATCCCAGCTGAAGGTAACCAAAATGCTGCTGGTGGTCTCCACAGTTTTTGTCTGCCTCAACTTGCCAAGCTGCCTGCTGCGCATCGAAACCTATTGGGAGGTGAGTTTATTGTTTTGAGCCGGACAAAGCCGGGTCATAATCGCTGTAAACTAAATACCCATAGACTTCACACAAAAGGTTTCATAGTTATCAACACACAGCAGCATGAGGTCAGCCCTAGTTAATATGCATACTTCGAAATCGCCACAAAGGCTTTTGAATTACGTATACGCTGCGTGCGCCGCCCAGGTTTTAACTTCAAAAATCATCACTGCACATGCCTGAAACATTTGTTAGACTTAATTAAACTTGATCAAGCATAACGATAACGGACTGGACATAGCTTTATATATACACAGTATATATGAAATAAAGGCACGCCAGCTGCTGCTCGTAGAATAAAGATAATTTTATGACTGCAGCAACAGCAGCAGAAACTACAACAGCTAATTAATGGTGTGCTTTAAGTAAAAGAAGCTCTCACGCTATATTTCTGCTAAGACCCTATTTACAGCAAGTGCGAGAACAAAGGAAGAGGCTGTTAAGTTAAAAATAAATATGAAAGCTTGAGCTTAGATATATATATTTCAAAGATGTTTAATTGTCTTTTCTATTTATCAGTAAATACAAAACTTTTGACTTATCGAACAGAGCTCTCCGTTTGTCCAAATAATTTGCTAATATTTCTTAATAATTTAGTGAGTCGATTTAACAAACAAATATAAATATCCTAAGCAACCTAAGAGCTAGAGGCACATGGCCTTATCAGAATTCCATTCAAGTAAATAGAGTACAAAAAAGAGTTAAATCATAACCAGAGTAATTCAATTTATAAATTATTCATATGATTACCACTTAAAAACTTATAACTCGTATATATTATATTTCTCAAGAACAGACAAAAATGCGTCTTCCTTTCATAAGCAAATAATGTTTAGCTCATTAAAAAATCAGTTTTTTTTTTCAAAACTTATTTAGGTAAAGGAAATGCAGGGTATATTGATGTGGTTAGCATGTATATAACGGACAGAAGGAAACTTGTTTAAGTCCAAAAAGGATATATCCATGATCCGAAACAAATACATAATCAATTCAGCTCAATATGTTTAGTTGTCTGTCAGACAATTCATATGAACGGAAAAGGTTACAAATAATAATTCATAATTTCTGTGAAATCGATGAAAACATCAAGCTTCAGTTATTAGAACATAACTCTTACATCTACAAATCTGTAGTTCTCATATTTAGCACAGAGTCTATTGTAACAAATATTTCATTATTTATTTGATATGTTCAGGGTATTTCCTAGTTACGCACTCCTGACTTACGCTTTTTACTTATTTCATATTTTATATTTGTAAAGCATTTCCTAGAAAGCTAAAAAAATGTCGCTCAGTTGATTAAATGTCAGCTACGCTTATGTATATATGGCTGACAAGCTTGAATGTTCTCAAACGGAAGGGTTAACGCACTGCCGGGGTACAAGAAGTGGGTGGAATGTGGGTATGCCAGGCTGCCTTTGCGATATAATTATGTTTTAATTAGTTTGTGTACTTTTGACACCCATGGCTCGTTAAAAATGCGAAATATGTATGCAATAATAAAGAACGAAAGGAAGCCAGATTCTTAGCGACACTCGCCAACATAAAATTAAATAAATAAAGCTTTAATGGATTATCATATTTCCCACAGAGAATTTATACTTGTTATACTTGCACTTAGCGAAAGGATTCTCCAATGATTTTTCACTGTTATACATTTAATTGCTGCATCCACGAATCTGACTTGAAAATTCGCTTGAATAAATTCAAAGACTGCGAAAATTGTTATTTTACGAAACGTGTCGAAATGCTTGAACGGAAAAGTGGCTTTCCATTTTTCACGTTGCTTTCCCATTTGCAATCGACAGCTGATTGAATCAATGAATTGCAAATTGTTTCAGCACGCAAGACAAGCATTGCATATTGATTGCGACATCAAATTAATTGAGCGAAAAGGGTTTTCGGGCAACTGCTCAACCAACTGGAAATGTCGGAATAAGCTCAACAGGTTACTAGACCATACAATCTGAGCCAACTTTCCAAAGAAATATTAATTAGAAAGTTATGTCATGAATAGTTCAAAGAGCAGCTTAGGTTAAAGCACGTCACAAATAACAGCTTAAATTATATTTAATTATTTATAAATAGGTATATAATTATATTTTCAACAAATTTTCACTCCAGACACAAACGGCCAAAACGCAAAATTCAACAATTGTTTTGCAGTACATTTTCAATGCGTTTTTCATTACGAATTTTGGCATTAATTTTGTACTTTATTGCGTGAGCGGACAAAATTTTCGGTAAGTACTTCCAAAACAAGCAAATATGGACTTAAGCACTTCTTTTACAAGCATCTGTCTACGTGTATATGCATATGGGCACATATGCAAGAAATTATGTCATTTGCCTTGTTTGTTTTTCGGTTTCGTTATTTAAATTTTGTACCGAAGATTGGTCTGGAGGGCTCTTAACTGTAATTATCTTTTCTTTCGCCATATATCACAGCAAAGCGGTGCTCAGCATTTTCCGCCGCGTCTCATCGGCTCAGCGCGAAGGCATCACTCAAGTGACAGGTAGGTGCACATGAGCGTACACTCTCCCAAAGACTTAAGCAATTGCTCAAGCGTCTCGAATAAGTAAATTCAAAGAAATGAAAATTTTATTACTCGAACAAGAACACAATAACTGTGAAATATAATCAAAAAAGAACAAATAAAAATCTCCATGGGATGCAGACAGCAGCTCAAAAATCTGACAGCTCAATTATTTTCAAAGAACTAATTTCTTCTAAGTGATGTCTTTACCTTTACTTGGCCCAAAACACTTAAAATCCTTTTAAATAGCAAGTAGTAGTAAAAAATAAACGCGTAGTAATAAAAATAATATAATAAGCAGAAGTAGTATTAATATTTGAAGTAACATTAGTAGCAAAAGTAATAGGAATACAAAAATAAAACCTGTAATATGAGAAGTCACAGATATAGTGGTTGAGGTAATAGAAAAAAAATTAGAAATTATGGAAGAATAGTGGATGTAGTAGTAAAATATGTAGAGTAGTAATAGTAGAATTAGTAAAAGTAGAAGTAATACTTGAATAATTTGAAGTAGAAATAGTTTAAAGATTGTAGAAGAAATAGTAGTAAGAGAAGTTGAATTGGTAGAAGTAGTAATTAAAGTAGTAATAATTGAAGTAGTGCTACATCTGGTATTAGCAGTAATTGAAGAAGTAACAGTAGTAAAAGTAGAAGTAGCAGTAATAAAAATTGAAGTAAAAGTTCTAGTAGAAATTTCAGTTAAAGTCATAACCATAATCATAAGATGATGACTACTATCATCACCATATAAAGCATATAGAAGTATAACGATACAAATAGTCTGTCCGGCACAAAACTAATCCAACTCCACTCGCCGCTCTAATGTAGAATATATAAATATATGTAAGTGATTGTATTAAGTTATGTTGCCTTCGTTGTGCACAAGATAAAAGTAAAAGATGTCGAAATAGAACAGGTGGAGGCATTCCTAGAAGCAATTGCGTAGTAGAAAAAGAACTAAAACAGAATCTTATGCTTATGCGACGTTTGTTCGTAGAAGAAGAAAAGAGGGAGGAACTTTAGAGGAAGTCAACTACGTAGATAGTGAAATGTCATTGAGAGTCCAATCAAAATGATAAAGTATTAAAAAAGAACAAAATGCTTAGCATATCAAATCAAAAACAATGCATAAAGTCAAAGATATCCGCTTCGCTGCTCAATTTTATTGTTATTTGTAGTTTGCCAAGATAAAAAGCCAACAATGATGAGGGTCAAGTTTGTGTAAGTTAATTATAAATATGTTACAAATGCCAAATCCATCATGAAATATCTGCAGGCCAATGTTAAAGACTCAACTAACTCAGCCATAAATGCTAAAACCAAATTTGCTTTTTACGATTCACCTGCCCAAGGGGCATTATTTATTTATGCCCGAATTCGAGGCAGTTACAATTTTCAGCTCTAAGGCGTAATAATACAGATAACTTCAAGGATTATTGCATTAAAAATTAATATTGTAAGCTGGTTAAATCAAGAAAAAAATATAAGTAAATCAAATGATAAAGATTTAGGCACTTGTAACTAAATGCAAATTTTAAATCCAAATTAAATTAAATAAAGTTTCAAAAGCTAACAACAGAAACGGGACAAACACTGGCGAGAGAGTCAAGCTGCCAAGGTTAAAAGGATCAAAACCGGCAAAAGGTTTTTGTGTGTGACATACAAATATTGACAGCTTTGCTCTCTTGCCAGAGCAACACCACCAGCAGCAGCAGAAACAACACTTGGGAATGCGGCTACATCAAATGTAATTAGCGCTTTCATTGTTCCACGGCCAACACAACTTTTAAAAAATCCTTCTTCAGTTTGTTTTATTTACATACACACACACACACATGCATGCATGCATGCATATGAAATTTTCGTGCTGTGGGTGTATGCTCGTCCTAGCTTAAGGATTTCTGTCCCGCTGCTGCAATAAAGCTTTATTGTACAGACTCGTTTTTTGTACGTAAATAACAAATGTTTAAACAGTAACCAACTGTGCTGTGAGTAAATATCGCACTTCAGGATTAACCCCAAAGACAGGCACCTCCGTGCGTTAGCTAAAGCAAGCACTTTCCAATTATAAAGCAAATATTGATTTAAAATCTGTGAACTGATTTAGCCAAGCTAGGCTATTTGATTAATTGAAAGCTGATTAAACAGGTGCATCAATGTCAGCTTAGTGAGTTTCCCAACAAAAAACCCTGGTGACTCATACTAAATTTGGAGCAACTGTCTTTAATGAGAGTTAATTTAGGTATATGACTTCTAAGAATCGGTAAGCGGAGTATTTTTAGGCCGTATTCATTTGGGTATCTTAACTACATCAAAGTTTAATGTAAATAAGTTAATTTAAGCACCAGCGAAACGCCCTTGACACGCGTTAATTAAAAAAACATATTAACTGCTTGAACAGCTTTTTACGCTTAAAGCGATTAGTATCGAAACAGATTATATAACAAAGCTAGTGTTCCACTAACTGTCTATTCAAACATCACACTAATTGCCCTTAAGGCATCGACTCGATATCGAAATTTCACAAATATTCTGCAGTTTTGCGCAGCCTTTCAATTTGCCTTGGCACAAAAGGATGCCGGCTTGCCAATAATAAGTGTTTGCCGAACGCCGAAATTTCAACGATGCGGCTGTAGTTAATCACGTCCAAAGCATTCGGTATAGTTTCAAATATAGAAAGCGATACGCCAACGCACACACACACACACACACACGCAGGCAGACTCTTTTGTTCAACGCATATAGCTCATACGCCATGTGTGGTACGTGCGCAGCATACAATACGCGAACTCCTGCACGAACAGAGCTCGCTCATTATGGTTTTGATACCCTAACCTCATTGATCAATGGGTAAACAAGATACATAATTATTGTCAAAACAGACAAAGGTATAAAAAATGTTCAAAGAAGATTCTGAATTAGTAGCAAAACCCAAGCAAACTTAGTCTCATCTTGAGACCAGGGTTGTTTAAAATAATTGATAACTTCAGTTGTTTATATAAAATCGATTAAAAAACTTAGGATTAGTAAACATTTTATTTAGTAAATTCATATTTATTTTTATATTGGTAGATGTTTCCATATTTTAGATAACTCCACCCTTATTCCTAGCCATAAGCTTGTTATTAACAGCTGCTTGACACGGCTCTTTAGGTATCTCCTAGTCGAGCAATGCTGCCTAGAGCTTTTCCACTTGTTATCTGTTGCGACTACTCATTGAATATTGCCAACGCCTTGGGAGCACTCAATGATACGCAGATCCTGGTGGCAATATGGTTGGCTGCCAAGTCAATCAGTGCAACACACCCCCAAGGCCTGGCCGCTTGACTTAGCCATCAGAGCTGATAATAAAAAAAAGCAACAAGACGTGCAGATATATGCCTTGTATATATATATATATATATATAGACTATATATAGAGATATAGCTGTGCTTATAAATTAAGCCTAGGCGACTTGCGGTCGTGGCAGCTGTGACGCACATTTCACATTTCACTTAGGGCACGATTTCAAATGCTTTCTGTTTGACTTTTATGTGATGGCCAACAATTTGGAGTCCTTTGTTATTTGACTATATAATTTATATATAATTCAGCGAGAGCGGCACAAATAGTCAGACGGACACTCAAAAGGCAGCGCCATCATTAATCTTACATACATATATACATATATATAAAGCTACTATAAATAAACAGAGATGAGAGTCTGTGAAAAGGCTTTGAAAGGCCAAGCGTGAACTTGATTTATGCATTCCGATTTACGATATCAGCATCTGGGAGTCTTCTTCTCAAGACTTTAAGATCCCAGACAATTTATAATTGGCTTTATAATAAATTAATTAAAATCAAGCAAAGGAAAAACGGCGCCAGGCTCAGGGCCTCGCTCTTTCTTTCATTTATCATACAAAATTATTTGCTGGTGACAATTTTATGTACAGCTTTTGTTTTTGACATCAGAAGCACGAGCGTGAAATTCTTTGCATAAGAAATTTTATTTACCAGACCAAAAAAAATATAGAAATATACATATACATATACATACATATTTATAATCAAACAATAACACGCCCAGGCCAAATACTGAGTATGTGTGAGTAGGTGTTTGTGTGGCTATGCATATGTGTGCTGGCTAGCGTGTGCATGATTGATTGGCAGAGATTGTCTAGAAATACAATATGCCCAAATAATAAAAAATATACATTGATGAACAACAAACAACATAAAAAAAAGCATTACAAATTTTGTGCTGGCTGACAGCCAATCAAATATTTTCAAATTAGTTTAAAAATTTTTTAATTTATTAAAAATTGATGAAAAGAAAAAATCCGTCACAACAGAGCAGATGAATTACTCGAAGAATGCAGGTAACAAAATGCAAGAAAAAAAGAAAGCTAATATAATTTAGTTCGAAAGAGAAATCATGTATTAATTATACAATGCCGAATTCATATGCTTTTTCAAATCATACAGATTCATAGTGCAGCTCGTAATATAGTCTATAGAGAGTAAGAATATAAATTTATTTAATTCTACGATCTAATCATGATTCCAGATCAGTTTATATATATACATAAGCAAATACAATTCACTCGTTCAGCCATACAAATCGTTCGATTTTCCAAGCGCACAGATGTATGCTACACTTCAAGACCTTCATGTTATGCTACAGAAAACAGTTAGGAATTTGCGCAGCGCTTATAAGGTTAAATTTTCTGTAAAAGGTCTCTGGAACCAAAGCAAATTCTGAAAAAAAATTATAGCCCGCTTTTGAGCTAATGCAAATACAAATCTAAATTGAAATCGCGGCAGGTAAATAACGACCGTGACAGTAAATTAAAAGTGCAGAAAAAGGTCCAAACTTGGGTCCAAGTTCAACATAAAGTGTACATAGAAATAGACAGCCAGATAATTGAATAATAACCAATTTTATGAAAGGCAAATACAAATTAAAACTGAACTGAGATTTTTAAATAAAATCTACATATTCATTTACTTGGAATTGTATTTTTTTTTTTTAATATTTGTGACTGAAGGCAACATAATTAGAAAGTTTATATTTCACCAGAACCACCTACATGTAGCACACGCAATCACCTGTAAATAAACACACACAAACACACAATCGCACACTCATGTTATATTACGTCAATAAAGTTTTTAAACTGCGCTTGACTGGCAACAGCAGAGTTCTTCATTTAATGAGATTTTCCTCAGTCGGTACTTTCATTTATAAGCGCCGAGACTTGTTACACTATTTTCAACTGTTTTGCACACGTTTTTCACTTGAGTTTTCTTTCGCTTTATCTTTCACAGTTTCCGAGTATTGCCGCAACACGGGCACCTCAACTAGGCGACGCATGATGACACAGCACTGCTGGAACGAAATGCACGAGCTGCATCCACTTAGGTAAACGAAATAACCAAACAAATGCAAAACGAATGGGAATACCCTACGAAACTAAAAAAGAATTAAAAACCTTGCAATCGGCACAATCGACTGCATAATACTCGTTCACGTTCGCAAAAGAACTCTGTTTATTCCAAATTAGATGTTTCCCAGATCTACAAGCAGATATGCATATATTATAAAGTGTTAAAAGTAAAAATGGTCTAAAAAGCTGTTTCTTTTCGATTTGCAACTCCACCCTTAAAGAGCACACAGACAGACAGTTTTTCCAATTTGCTAGTGTTTAGCTTAAATCACATCGAAATACTTTACATTCATACAAAAAATTAAACTTTCAACAACACGAATATACCCTTTTTACAACGGGAATAAGCATTAAAAGAAATTAAAAAAAAAAAAAACAAATTCAATATCGTATTTCTGTGAGCTAAATAGAAACCTGTTTGTGATGTTCAAGTCAAATTAGTGTAAAAGCGCAAAACGAAAATGTAGTTAAAAATTAAAGCAGCTAAAAAAAAGTTATCTGTGTATATATACCTAAGTATACTTTTAAACCGAATTTTAGCCAACAATTGCAAACATATAGATGTGTGTGGAAGTGAAATTAAATTATGCTTAAATTGAATGCTTCAGCTTAATCGCGCTTATTGAATTGATTTCAATTAAATTAAAATTAAAAACCAAATGCAATAGCCAACCACATGTACTTGAATTAAATGTTGCAAATGTTGCACTCGAAAGTTAATAAATATGTAATAAAAAATAATAAATTGTGCGACATCCACTATTTCTGTATGTATGTATTAAATATGCATTAAGTCCTCGGAACTGGATATTTGAATTTATGCAATAGTTTTGCTCATTCTATCAAATTAACTAACTAAAAATTGTATTGCGCATCAATTTTATAAATGGTTTTGGGGGTTTTCGGCATTTTAAAATTTATATTCAATTTATCATGTTACATTGACCACCCACACAGTCAACTTCACTCTAAGCTGCTGAAAAGCGTTCCGTTAAATAAACAATTTGGACAAATGGCTCTGCTGCAGGCATAACTATAACAAAAACTAAGCTGCTTAGTGCTTGGAAATAAAAAGGTCAGTCAAAAAGATTGGACATGATCTAGAAGCCACGACCCTATCCAAATAGTAAGCTTTAAGGAACAGGCAAAAAAAACGTACAGCAATAACAAGTCAACATCTACAGGCATTATATAAATGTACATAAATTTTAAATTTAAGGCAGAACGATTTGAGGATTATGTAGCAAGAATACAAAATGTTGAGCGGAAGTCACGCGCGAGCTATGTTTACGAATTGCTGCTAATTGCCGTGACGAATTAACGTTTATGCGCCCTAAATCAGCGCTGGCCTTTACGCATTTGAATGAAAATCCATTTTATTAATGCGGTTTTTTTTTCATTGCTGACTTAACATACCCTGTACGCATTACAAAAAACAAAATACAGAAAACTGAGTCGAACGATGAGATAATCATTATGGCAAAGCTAATATTTAAATTAAAATATTAATATTATGTCATAATCATCTATCAGAGGCAAATATTAAGTATACGTAAAACCCTAGCGTTTTTATAAGGACAGCCTCAACTTATAAATGCTAATATTGAGTATATATACTAGTGAGGAGTTACGAAATAGAGAGCAGCATATATTCACATTGAGATTACGTATACGTATTATTGATGAGTTAATAAAGTAAATCAGATATTAAATATACGTGGTTGTGCTTCGCAGCGCTGCTATTAAGTATACGTATTTCTGATAAACATACTAAGAACAACTGGTATTACGTATACGTAGTCTTGATTCTACAATACAGAGAATCAGATATTTCAGTTTATATTAGGTACACGAATTCTTGCTTGATTATGATTACAGAGAGAATTATATATTACGTGTAAGTAAAAACAGTTGCGAATAATTCAATTAATATTAAGTACACATATCTCTGCCTAATGATAACAGAATTGAAGCCGGTCAAAATTTCAATGGGTAAGTTCTCGCAGGTCACTTTTGCTTTTTGGCTTAAAAATTATGCTTACGCTTTTTCATATAAGATGCGCGCCCCAAAAAAATGTGGCTGCCGCGATGAGTTGCTAACGCATTTTGCCCTCTTTTTTATCGGAACGTTAACATTAATGGTCGAGCGAGCAGTTTGTGCATAACAAATTGCCTTAAAATTATACCGAGTCTTGAAATTCCCTAGCGCTTACACACAAAATTAAATTCAATTCAATCAAATTGACGCAGTTATACACACACACAAATAGCAAGTGAAGCAAATAATTTTATGTGGGCTCGAAATTCACCGGAAAAATTATTATATAATAAAAGAGTGTAATTCAAGAGTTGGCAACAACAACATCTATAATAACAACAAAGGCATGTATTACATGACTTCAAAAATTAAACTATTTCTAAAAAAAAATAAGGATAATAGCTAAATAAGAGCGAATGATTACAAATGAAAATATTACTACAAAAATAATTCAAAAGTTGTGCAAATTGTTCAACTGCATAGTAAAAAGTCTAGCATAACGAAGCATGAATACGCTTTGGTAGGGAAATTTATTGAAGAATGCATTTAATTGTCGACTAATGACAGCTATATGATATAGTAACCGAATATCTTTTCTGCTTGCAATAGAAACGTGAACCAGTCATGAAATCGGAATGATTGAAACTAGGTTCCATAGATAGATATTGATGACCAAGAATACACATAGCAAAGAGACCACTTTTTGACTACTCGAGCAGCTGTTGACAGGTTCAGCAGAGTATTACACAGTTGATTAAATTCTCTTTAAACATTGCTCTACTTTTTTTCTGCAGCACTTAAAAAATTTAGTTTACTAAAAATGCACAAAAAGAATAAAGCAAGCAAGGAAAATATAATCTAGTTTCCGACAACTATTAAGAAATGCATCACTTTACGGCCAAACATAGTTTTACAATTTTATATTTTATACTAAAGACATTTTGGCCGACTCAAGTCAGCAATTTATCGATTCAGCGTGGTGGCATTTTGCAAGTTAAATTATCTGTCGAGTCACAATTTTGCATCTACAGATAATTATGGAAAAAGCACTTAAGTTCAATTCCAGTGGAAGTTTATTAAAGTGGACAGCAAAGTACTCGCTTAACATTATTGTAGATAGTTCATACCTTTCTCGCTGTCGCTGTGCAAATTGCCCACGATGCTGCCGAAGAAGCGTTTATCCAGTATTTGCAGCAGCTGCAATGCGGTCGCATGCACCTCCACTCGGGGGCAGCCCGTCATCAGCAGCGTTACGGTAATAACTGACGTATAATGGTCGCACGGATACTCCCTGAAAGAAAGAGATAGACAGAGGGTGTGAGAAAGAGCAAGAAGAAAAACACAAACACGTTGTGGTTAATGGATTTTATGCACTTCAAGAATTTTACTTAAAGTATTAAAAGTTCGAACTTAAGTACAAAGTTAACTCAGTTGCGGTTTTGGTGGTTATGCTAAGCACCTGTCTTTTACCTCAGCTAACGAGCTGGCTATAAGCAGATAAAAGGGACAGACAGCCAAATTAACGGCTTGCCCAATTAAAATTCAATCACATAAGCCAACCCAACCCTAATGGCCCTAATGCTAACTGGAATGGGCCAAGCACCTGTCGATGTAAAATGAGAGAGAGCCATTACCTGCGGCTCGGGCCCCATCCAAGTTGTACCCTATGCAAATTTTCTAAAAATCAATTCTCAATTTGCATACCAAATTGTAAGCGCAGAAAAGTATGCTACGGATTTCGCTCACTTAGTATTAAACAACTTTACAGCTTCAAAATTTTCTACATTTGCTGTTAGCTAATAAATTATTAATAAATCAAATCTATGCCCAACTTTTAAAAATGACTGAAATTTGAATGTCAATTGTCAAACATGAAGAAAATCCTTTCACTGTTGTCTAAAAGTATGTTAAATTTATCCTTTGTTCACTGAATCGCTGAATCGCCTACTGTAAACCAAAATTTGCAATTTGCAGCTGTGACAACATATTGTACTTTGTTTGTGCAACAATTTGCTCACTTATCGGCCAAAATGGCAATTGACCTATAGTGCGACGTGCAGGTGAGTGGGTCAGAGTTTCCTTTGTAACTTGTTTTCGTGTTTAGTCACACGTGCAGTGAGTGAAAAATGTGTATGCAAAAATATGGAATTGCAAACTGACTAGCTCTGTGGGCTGTCTGCAGCTAATTGGAAATGATTTTGCAGTAAATAAAGTTTAAAGCGCCATTATGGCATGGTCCTTGGCAATAAAGGATGTCCATCCACACAGAACACATCCGCCAACAAAAAAATTTCGAATTTCTGTTTGAACATGCTATAGGGCAATGTGTGTGCGAGTGCCACAGTCTGTGTGCTTAACTGCTAAACAAACAGTTTGTGCCACTATGTGATAAAGGCAGCCATAGACGATTTTGGCATTGCAACGATTTGAAGTTTGGAGCATTAAAAGCCACAGTAAATCAAAAATTTAACCAGTTCTAAACTTCAAAATGCAGCGAAGCATTAAGATGGAAATTTATGTCGTATATGGGCAGCGGCACGCAAAAGATACACAAGCAGCAGCTGCTTCCACATAGCGCTCTTTAGCACGCCAAAAAGAAATATCATAAAAAACGCAACAAATTTGCGACATGCACCATGTGGCATGTGCCACAAATAACCAAACCGAATCACATACCAAAACTGCCACACGAAAGTGTTCAGTGCTCAAATGAATGCAAATGGTTTTCCTCGTTAAAGGTTAAATGGGCTAATAAGCCACCTACAAAACAGACCCGTTCACATTTGGAATGCATATTGTTGTTCGACAAGAAAAAGAATATTTCTTATTAAAAATTTGGTTTACTAGCGAACCAAGCACAAACTAGCTCGCTTAAAGGACGACTTCCATGGAATTGAAAACAATGAGAAATTTAAAATTGGAATTAAATTTCATAAAAACCTAGCCAGAAGCAGAAATACACTTTATTAAGTTCATATACTTAAATGATGTATATATGTACAGCAATTCGCGGTAAAAGAGGCAAATTACTGGGAGTCTAAGAGACTGTTTATCACCTGGCTGGAATGCAATAAAGGACAAAAATAAGTATTTATATATACACACACACCCAGGCAAACAGAGTCAGTCAAGCACATACACTCAGACACTTTCCCACTGCAGCACGGTA